AGCTTAAACAATAGGAAAGTTCGCAAATGCATTTTACGAGCCCCGCGTGGCCGATTGTACACTTCAGCGAAATAAACGCGTTAGGAACAGTGAGCTTATTTAACCAGAAAGAAAATCTGTAATAAACATTTGTTGTTTAAGCCACAGACGTGATTGTTCAAAGCGCCACATGTATAGATGTATTAAAAAAATCCTAGTGTAACCTAGCTTACATTATTCTCAATACAAGTGCCCATACTTAGTCTCACTTGTATTTAAAAAAAGTTTGCCTATCATTTTATGGAATGACAGAATTTTTAGTTTGAAAAAAATAAAGTCTACAAATATTTTTCAAACACAAAGAATCAATACCAAAGTAAATTCTTTCGAACAACTGATGCACTTTAAATTACACTACACCGTAAGCCAAGAAACTATTTTTAAACTAGTTATAAACTAAACATAGAAATGCTTTTGATATAACAAAAGGAATTTATACTATCCCGCAAAGAAATGAGGTATGAGATATCAAAAGATATTGTTAGGTTTCCTTTGATCTTTGAAGTAGTTTTATCTAAGAGCTACCAAGCTATGAATACCATATAATAATGTAATAAATTTTCAAAAATCACTAGGATTTTTGCCGTAATATTGAATATAAAAAACATTATATATATATAAGTTCAGTTTTAGTATAATGACAAAAACGGAGTACCGCAGGTCCTAATGGGTTCCATTCAAAGTTGAGTGTCACTCGGTACACTTGGGGAAATGGCACATTGTTGCAAGGGCGTGATGACACGACGGGCGAATCTCTCAAACAATAGAGACTAATGTCGTGAACACTTGAACGGTGTTGAAGATATCCCGAGATATTAGATATTTGTTAACATAAATAGGGTACGTCCAGCCCCTCACACTTCTGTACAGAAACCTGTTTTAATTATGACACGCACGCGAATATTCATTTATACATAGTCTGAATTACCACTCACTGGTCCTCCAGTTATGAAATGTTTGTTATTTTAAATTTAAAAGGGTGGAAATTAAAAATTATTATCAGATCTAAGACTTTCGCAGATATTCATTTAGATAAAATTAATATTTTTGGATTCTTGAATGGTTTTTTTTTAAATTTAATTTGCCAAGGATCACGGTTGCTGCTAAGTATGTATGTAGTTTTAAAATAATAAAATTTAACAAAAGAAGATTAATGAGATCGCAATAATGTCTCAAACTATTCGGAAAAATTATGAATAACACAATTTAAGTGAACCCATTGAAATCGCAAGAAGTAAGTGAACATTCACCATTTAAATTTCAATTATATTACAACCTGATAAAATATTAACTTTCTTTCTGTTACTAAAAATAGTAATAGTAGTAGTAATGGTAGAGCAAAACACAGACTAAATGAATAAAAATGTACATTTAAAACAAACAATTTCTGCCCGTAAAACTATGTACAATGGCTTTTGTGAAACATTAACCTTTAACAAATTGTCAAAAAGCAACGACCCCAAATAATGTCAGGATAGTACTAAAAAAAAGTGAAGAGCACTCCAACGTTATTCAGAATGCAGCATAATTGAATTACATAGAATATATTGATGGTAAATAATAACAGAAATCAAGTTACGTTCATAGTATAAAAAAGGGGAAGTGGGTTAAAGTGAACAAAAAAAACTTGCAAACGGTCATTGGACGAAGCAGTCAATAGCGATTTTGTTACTTACTGTTTTGTTCTAAAAGCCGTTCTGTGCTTTATTTTATGCTAATTCACTAAGTGATGCTTATGCCAAGAAATATAAATAACTATGAGTGAGTATTAAGTAAACAGAAAACGAATGTTGACATTAATATGTTAAGTATTTAGAGGCAAATTTCATGAAAACCAAATACTTCAACCGCTTACTTACATAAATTGCGTTCTTCAAAGTTTTACAGGCTTTTCTGTCGAGATTAAGTCGCCCTGACTTTTCTATAATAAAACTAAAAGCATTATGTTAAAATCTAAGACGAAATACGGAATAACCTGTATCATGTATGTATAATATTTATGTATTTAAGATTTTTTTTACCTCACTTAAATTTTTTTTTCATCTATCGCATGTCACATTACAGTTCCCACAAAACTTTAATACGTCATTATATTTATTTAAAGAATATTTTCAGTCACAAAATAATATTTAAAAATTACAACACCCAAATACACAACCCAAATCTATAATAATAGTTTCAATCAGTGGCGGCTGTACCTTAAGTGCGCCCGTGCGCTGAACCACCAATTCAAAATATTTAAAAATTACAAAATATTATGTCATCTTAATTTTTAAATTACCATTTTAATATTTATTTTTTAAACATACAAAAAGGTATAAAAAATTTAATTTCCAATTATGGTCAAAAAGTTTGAGCGCTTTACTAAACTCATATCGTGCGCTCCGGCGAGTGCACGAGGACTGCTAATACATCTTGTATGAGACACGCATTAATACGCCTGGCGCGTGAGACAAAAGATAGTTCATAGAAATGCACCGAGTAACGAGTCGGTTCTCGCGCGCCGCACGAAGCGGCCGAAGATTACCGAGAGCACCCGATGTATGACGTATTGAGCCGGCCGGCAAGGGGCCGGCCGAAAGGATGGGTGCTATGATTGACATTTCGTTAATCGTTATTGGTATTGTTTCAACTTTCACTGTATGTGTGACGCGTTAATTCGTTATTGTTTATAATTATTTCCGTAATTCGTTTTAGTTTTTATTTCGTTTCTATAATAGAACTTTTATTCTGTACTGTGTTTTTTATTAGTTGAAAATGAGTATAAATATTGATTATATTAAAGAAAATAACAAAATTTTTCAAAGTAAAGTGAACATAAAATTGACCGGGCCGCCACGGCCCTTTTTAAATTTAAAACAAGAGTGTAAATCGAAAAATAAAGCATTTATACGAAGTTTTAAAAGTGAAATGTATAATAGAAAGAAATGGTTGTGTGGATGTGAGCGTCTTAATGCATTCTTTTGTTTTCCTTGCATTATTTTTGGCGGAGAATCGATTTGGACAGAAACTGGAATCAAGGATTTGACGCATTTAAGTGAAAAAATAAAAAACACGATTCTTCACAAGTACACCTACAAAATGTAATGAGTTTGTCTGTGTTAGGCACAGTCGATATTCGTAATCAGCTAGATTCTGTGTATAGAAGTAATATCCAAAAGTATAATAAACAAGTTGATAAAAACAGATACATTTTATCACGTCTTATCGATTGTGTCAAGTTTTGTGGTGCATTTGAGTTAGCTTTGCGAGGTCACGATGAAACTATTGAGTCCAGTAATGCTGGAGTGTTTCGTGGATTAATAGACTTTGTATCAGAGTTGGATATAGTTATGAATTAATGTACAAAAAATAAACATATTTTATGTCAATTGTTGTTTTTGTCAATATTTTAGTAAAGTGAACCACCAGTTCGATAACCCACCAGCCGCCACTGGTTTCAATAAAGGAATGAATATAAACAGACATGTTATGATTAAAAAATATATAATACATATATTAAAAGAAAAAGTTTCTCAATATTAAAAACTCAATTCTAACTTATAAGCGGAGCTCATAAAACTTTGTAAGTACTGCCATTCTATTAAGAGCTCAAATTCCTCTTAAATGCGGAGTAGATGTAAATTTTTCAAAGCAAACATGCAATACTTAAGATGAAATAAAAACTTATACGAAGAAAGTTGAAGTATGGAATACAAATAAAAGTTACATGTTTATGAATCATTTTATGTACATCACAAAAGGCAGGAATGAAATATGGAATTATGAAAAATATTTAGTACCATTAAACATCATCTCAATCTTTTGTTTGACTTTTGAAAGTATTTTTAAAAAAATCTATTTGGAATTCTATTTATTACAAATTGCTATTGAATACCCGACTACGCAAAAGGAGAATTATTTTAAAAGTTTTCATCTGTAAATATATTTCATACACATGACATTGAAATTAGAACCTTAAAGGGTAAACGATTTTTATTTAGAAGACATCATTTCAAGTGAGGCTCCGTTGAGAAAGTAACACTGGTAAAATATAATAAATGATATGGAGGTGTATTAACTGGATAAAATACGAGTACTACAGTAAACTATAAGTTTTTAATATGATTTTCGAAAAATAAAGCACTTGGGTTAAGTGATTATGTAATAAGAACCTTTCTTGTATATACCTAAGTACTGAACACCGATTGTGTGTGCTATTCCCTTATTCATGTAAAATTGAAAGTTCATTTGTTGCACAGTCAGATTTTTTTAATAATATAATCTCTATTGAAATTTCCATTTGGAGATAAAATATTACTCCAATGTAGTAACACTTCAGAAGTGATCATTTTTACCTGTGTGTATAAATGTATGGACTCTCGTTTATAAATATTATGTATTTATCCTCTTAGAGACGTAACAAAAGAAGGCATATTTCCAAATTATGATACCCCAGTTAAACATAAAACAATATTTTGGTTATGTATTGATTTTTAATCACTTACAATAACTTAAAGAATCTATGAAATGTTTCTAATATGTTACCGGCAAACACAAAATTAATTACACGATCTAACTCGCTGTTTAAAAGATTATCAAATTAATTATATTGACAATGTCATTATTTATTTTTCAATAATTAAATATAACACTTTCACTTTTCCAGCTTTAAACATGTTATGTTCCAAAAAAGGTATGTCGTAATTTTGAGGAACTACGGTCCTAAACAAATATATTATTTACATCAACACTCTGTTATTGCAGAAAAAACTGTCAAATAGCTCTAATTAAAACGATAGAAAAACATATTATGGCTATTTTTATGAAAATCCGCGAACTATAACAATGTTTTTCATTCTTGGGAATTCACAGTGACACATCAATTAGCAAGTTATATCCGTAGCCACAACATTTATACATTAAATACTCATATATTGAGATACAATTTTCAGATCTCTCAGTTGTAAGCAAGATCAATCATGGAAATCACTGTAAGTAGAATAACATTTTCAATGTATCATCCTTTTATGTAAATAAGAATAATTTCAGTTATGTATATAACATTTCAATGGTTAATTCCAATACAAAATACGTTAATTTTCGAACCCATTCTTCATTATAGAAAATATATATTCATTAAAACAAAAACCTGAAATACTAAATATGTTTTTTTACAGATTATCCAAACTGCTCTTCTAATACTTTTATTGGGCAATATCAACTTCACTAAAGGAAAAGTTCTGTTAAGAGAAAATGAAATCGGTGCTTTGAAAAATATACGAAATGACGGAAACTTTGAAGTCGATAAGCTTGCAACTACAAGAGTTAAAAGACAATTCAGCTATCCTTATGGTTTGTATAGATACCAACATAGACATTATTTTTTATTCATTATCTCAGAAATTACGTAAAATTAAATTTTACGAAATCTGACAAAATGGGCATATTTTGTTGTCATTCATCTTCAGCCATTAAAAAAAAAACAAGTTAGCATAAAAAATTACGTAACCTTTTTTTAGATCCATACGGGCGACGGCGGCCTATACCAATTATTATAGGAGGTGGAGGCATAGGGTTTGGTAGATTTGGAGGGGGAGGATTTGGTGGCTTTGGAGGGGGAGGATTTGGTGGCTTTGGAAGTCGCGGATTTGGAGGTAGAGGTTTCGGATTCGGGGGAAGAGGTTTCGGCGGAAGGGGGTTCGGAGGAAGAGGATTTGGCGGAAGAGGCTTTGGAGGAAGGGGTTTTGGCGGAGGAATAGGAGGTCGTGGCTTCGGAGGATTTGGAGGTCGTGGAGGACGAGGGTGATCTATAGTTTCTAATGTATGTCATCAATATTTATTGTTAACAATTGAATTTTTTTAATTTCCTATGATTATATTTTAACCGTTATAAAAATATTAAATTATTTTTGAAATCAAATAAAAAGAATATCTTTTTGATGCTACATTTTAATCGTTATTATAATTAATTATCTAAACTTTTAATATATTACTACACTTAGGCTGTTATGTTGTTCTATTTTAAAATCTTATTTTCATATTATTAGAGGCCTTTCTTGTATGAAAAGGTTTTTCAAGACCGTCGGTTTTTATTTGTGTATATTATCAAATTTAATTAATAATTATAGTCGTTGTTTCGTTTAAATACTTTTATTTAATAGATACGAAATAAAAAATGATAATAATAAAGAAGTTCTCAATGATGATGCCATATTTATTAACATATGAAATATAGAACTAAGACAATAAATTACTCTACGTCCAAATTTCTCTTTTTATACTCTATGAAGACAAGTTTTATTAAGTTACTCCTATGTCACTGTCATTTCTAATGGTTTTAAAAGTATCTAGCAAGTACAAAAGTTTAAATATTTAAAATAGCGAAGTTATATTTTAATTAAATTAGCATCAAACTATATATGAAATTTAAGGATTTATAAACATTTGTATATTTGGAATAAGATATCATATAAGAGCAAATGAAAAAGGAATATTATATTAGTTATATCAATAAAAATGTCTAAGTTCAAGGAATCACATTAGCATTTATAGAGTAGTTAATTACATCTGCCATTATTATAAAATTATTACTTTCTGTCACCATGGAAGGAGCTTATGATGAAATTATCTCAGAAAACCCATTTTTCATTCAATTGAAAAACGAATATTCAACATTATTTCAACATTGCATATCGGAATCATGGATTATATGTGTGCCTCGCATCGGGAGCTTAAATTCTCGTGTATTTTCAATTGAAGACTTTGGTGCCCACATTTTGATACCAAGTGATGAATTGCCCGAAACTCATTATAGCACTCTAACAGAAAAACAAGTGACAGTTGCAAATAAAGTTATTACCTTAGAAGTAACAAAAAGTTTACCGCTCCAAAGCCACATACTATTTGAGGAAACTTTTTATACAGAGGACTTTATTAAATATAGAGTATGGTGCATAGAAACACCTCTGGAACCAAATGTTAATGTGAGTGATAATTCAATGACTAAGGAATGTCTCTCGACTATAAATGACTGTATCGATTTACTTTGGACGCAGGCTGCTGGCCGACAAGTTTTGGACCAAATAGAAATTAATGTACAATTATTTATAAAGAAGCAATCAAATCTGCCTACCGCTATAGCCCCATTGAGGGATGCAGTGAGTGAGCTATACACACAATGCTTACAAAGTTCATTACAAAACCGCAGAATAAGGGAGAAATGCAAACTATCTAAACATTTACTTGAAAACATCAAATTGGCTGTGGAATGTTACATGCAACATTTATTATTCGACTCAATATTCAAAACAATTTGTACCATATGTGCCTACGAAGACTCACATCTTAATAAAAAAATAAGAAATCTAAGTGACATACAACTCAGAGATCTCGAGATAAAAAATGACTTGTATCATGCAGTTCCGAAAGCAAAACAGATTTTATCTAAGATTGACACATATAATACTGTTTTAGAAAAAGTTATGTGTTTAAAACAAGCATTGAATGAGCTTAATAAAATCGACAGTAACAATATTGTCATACTTCTAGCCGCGGACGATATATTACCTGTATTTGTGTTCTTGTTAATTAAAGCCGGCTTACCAAACTGGTACAGCCAACTGACTTACATGAAAGAATTTCGTTTCAGCGGTATTGGGAAAGGTAATGGCGATGAAAGTGCATTCTTAATAACTACATTAGAAGCTGTTATTGAACACATTCAATCAGATGCTTTAGCCGGCCCACCGAACCCAGAAGCATATTACTATGAAAGTAATCTCACCGAGGAAAATGTAAGCAATGGTTATCAAAGAAAAGGTAGCTTAACAGAATCAACGACCACAACAACTACCTGTGATACAAGTGGAAGAGAAGAAACACTGGATCATATTTTTGATCTAATAAAAGCTAATAACACTGAACAAGTACAGGTTTTGCTTGAGAGAAATCAAAAGCATTTAGCAAGTATACAGCAAACTCAAGATAATGCTTTTAATATTGCCTTACAAGAAAAAGAGGATGACGATGACACAGACAGTGAAACAGAACTGTACCAAAAATTATGCCATCCTTTGTGTAGTTGCAAGAAATGCTGTTCGAAAATATCCAAGAATCTTTTGAAAACTTCACCAACGGTATATTCAAGGGACAGCCATGGTTTGACTCCGCTTCATGTTGCAGCTATACATGGGAAAGCAACTATCGTTGAAATTCTTATAGATATGGGAGCTGAAATAAATGCAACTGATCTTAATGAATGTACTCCTCTACACTACGCCGCTTCTAGAGGCCATCAGAACGCATTACTTCTTCTGCTGCATTCAGGATCGAATATAAATAAAACTAGTGTTGATCAAAATACACCTTTACATATGGCAGTCAACAATGGACATTTGAATTGTGTAAAGGCTCTTATCTACTTTGCAGAACATGGTAGGAAGAAACTGAATGTTAATCCCAAAAACGAATTAGGCAACACTCCTCTCCACTTGGCCTCTAAATGGGGATACGAAGGTATAGCGAAATTATTGATAGAAAATGGCGCTGAACCATCCATCCAGAATGACAATAACAAAACCGCTTTCGATTATGCCCATAATTTGAAAATACTCCAAGTTCTCAAGTCTTGTACGCCTAACTTGTATGAATACATACATATATCCAATTCGGACATCAAAACACTGAATTGCAAGGCTGAAAATCCTGTAACATTGAAGCTACAAAATCTCAAGATAAAGAACTATGAAACAAGTAATGCCTCCAAAATGGTGGAAAATCTGAAGAGAATTGAGAGGATCTTGCAAGCTATATCATATGGGGATGTCAAACTAGCCTGTTTCTATATGAACATTAATTACGATAATTATGTTAATATGAAAAATTTTACCGCGAAAGTGAACTGTCATCCTCTATGCGAGTGTTACAATTGCAAGAAGAAACATTACACTATAACTGACTACGACGTAAATTTTGCAGATTCGAATGGTTTCACTGCATTACATTATGCTGCAATGTACGGTTTGGATGAATTGTGCAATATACTTGTTTTGAACAAGGCTGATATAAATTTTTGCAATAAAAAGGGACAAACACCCTTACATATGGCAACTATACATAATAAAACGACTGTGATAAAGTTTTTACTGGACCAGGGAGCAAATATAAATGCTATAGACCTATCAGGCAACACTCCTCTACATGATGCAAGCGAAATGGGTAATATAGGCGCAACAAAAGCCTTACTAAATTACAATCCAGACATAACATTGTCAAATACATCAGATAAAACAGCAATAGACGTCGCTAAAGACAAACTTCATTTGACAGTTATAGATTTAATAGAAAAGTATTCAAATAAGTAAAAGTTTTTATTTGACATCAACAGTTCATATATTACAGAATTTGTTTTAAATTACTATTACATTGTATATATTAATAGTACAAGTATCATTAAGTGTTTTTTTCACAGAAAATATTTGTGCTTAATTTCTTTACTGTATTGTGCAATTGTAAAACAATCTTGAAATGAGATCCTAAATTAACATGACATAATACAAAGCATTTAAAAAATGTAGTAGCTATACTTATATTATTTTTATGAATTTTGTACAAATATAATAATTTTATATACCATTTAGTTTGTGATATTATTATTTTTTTTTAAATAAAAATGCAATTTTATATTTTTGTTTCTGCACAAATATTTAAGTGCCATAATTGTAAGTTTATTGTCAATACCATAGAAATGAGACTGAAATTATTTTTTATAAATTAGATCTTCACCAATTATTAACAAAAAATATATAAGAAATTTATCTTACATTCCTTATTATTTGTCATTGTTTAAAATTTTCTTTTTTATACAATTAATATATATAAACATATATATAAAAATTAATATCCTACATATAAATAGTATAATGTACTCAAAAATATAACTTAGAATTAGTAACTTTTTATCACAATACGTATTAAACTAAATGAAAAACAAAACAAGTAAGAAAACATCTAATTGTTAACATAGCCATATATAATTGTGATGACCAACAAGTACTTTGTAATAATAAATCATTTAAAACAAAAATGTATAATTTTATTTTCCTATATAAAATCAATTTATATACAGGGTGACTGGTGAATTACTATCGATATTTGAGGACGTGATATTTGACGATCATATATGACAAAATAAAAATTAATATAACATAAATATTAATAAACTTCTAAGTAAAGTTAACCAAAAGTTATGTAATTAATTATGCATCGTGTGAACACCCTACAGATTAGGTATACACTGACACTCACACATACGCATGTCGTGACGTGTTGTTGTATCAGCACGCCGCCGCACGCGTCCATACTTGGAACGTGTACACACTTTATTTATTTATACGGAAATTTGGTCAAAAATTAAGTACCTATTTTTTTTACATAATTCGAATGAGAATCATGTACCGAGTATGCTCCTTAAATATTGATAGTAATTCACCAGTCACCCTGTATAAATAAGTACAGATATAAATGAAATCTGCATTAATATATTTACAATAGAAAAGCTTAAATACACAAAAGTGTAAATCATGTTAGTGCCACATCTTATCTTAATCTTATGAATACACAGTTACAATATTAATAAATTAGACAGATATATGATTAAAACAGGAATGTAGAACTATTTACATATATGTAACACTTGGTCCCATTATATCTAACATCAATATACTAAATCTCATATTAAATACTATAAAACACCTGTTTCATTTCCTTAATAAAATAGTAATATTATCAGTTCATTGTCTGTTCATATAATCTCACATATATTTTACCTCAAGTATCGCCGTCATCAGCCTATCAGTCGCTCACTGCTGAGCAAAGGCCTCTTTCTCAGATGGAGAAGGTTTGAGCATTAATCACCACGCTTGCTCAGGACGGGTTGGTGATTTCAAACTTATAATTGTGAAACTATAAGTCCAGGTTTCCTCACGATGTTTTCCTTCACCCTATGTCAGTGATGTCTAAATAATCTCAGAAAGAACATATGACTCCGAAAAATCACATTGGTACTTGCCAGGTTTGAACCCGCGCCCTCGGCAACGAGAGGCGGACCCTTTAACCACTAGGCCACTACTACCTCAAGTATATTGAACTATATATTTATATACAAAATCACTTATCACTTGGTGGTAAGCTCCATACAGGTATATTTTCTTTCTTCTTCTTATAGTGATGTCTATCTCTTAATCTGACGTCATCTTGTTTCATTTGAAACTCCTGACCTTGACTTCGCCAATCAACTTGTTTCTTTGGCGACCAATCTTTCCTATAGAATTTTTTCTCTTTATCATCATAGTGAACTCTGCTTTTTGTGAACAATTCGTTTTTGTGAGGGTCTTCTAATTCTGGTTCGGGTTGTATTTCAAGGTCATCGTCCGCTAGTTCTGTGACTTCTTCTCTATAAAATGTGAAGGAGTATGGATAGTATGTTTGTAGTATATCCTCGTTCCTGTACTGTTGCATCTGAAGCCACACATGTGGGAGCAGGAGGGGGAATCTCTTCAGCCAATAAGTCACGAACCCGTCCGGCAAACGGCCTAGACTTTCGCGTATTTCAGGTTCTAGTTCTCTATAGTGATGTTTCTGTAACAATATGTTTACTCAGTTAGATTGGTTGTAAAGATTTATTTAATTAATAAAGGAAAGTCGTGTTAGTTACACTCTTGGAAAATTGGTGGGAAGATAGCTTAGAACAACGAAAAGGACATAGGATACTTTGATCCTATTACAAAGAAAAAAAAATAAGTTGATCAAATCAAAAATCTTCTTCTTCTCTCTTTACAAAAATTTCTAATTCTCAAACTAAAGCAGATGAAGTCGCGGGCAAAAACTAGTATAAGATAAAACAAAAATTAAATACATAACTAAGAACAACACAATAACAGACGATAACTTTTATTCAAAAACTACTACTGGTATTTTTTTGTTATACATATAATTGGATTGGATTGGATAATTCCGCACATCTACATTCAAAGCAGATTATTATCAGTAAGTTTAAGCTGAAATATTTTCTATATTAACGACTTATAAGGTAATTTTTTCACAGTTAGTAATTATTCAGTGTTTAATTTATTATATACTAGCTGCGCCCCGCGTTGTTACCCGCGGATTTCCGGGATGTAAAGTAGCCTATGTGTTATTCCTGGACGTCAGCTTCCTATATACAAAATTTTATCAAAAACCCTTCATACGTTTGAGCGTGAAGAAGTGACAAACATACACACACACTCACAAACTTTCGCAATTATAATATTAGTAGGATATACAGGGTGACTGGTGAATTACTATCGATACTTGAGGACGTGATATTTGACGATCATATATGACCAAATAAAAATTAATATAACATAAATATTAATAAACTTCTAAGTAAAGTTAACCAAAAATTATGTAATTAATTACGCATCGTGTGAACACCCTACAGATTAGGTAAAAACACACACACACACGCGTGCGGCGGCGTGGTGTTTTATCAGCACGCCGCCGCACGCGTCCACACTTGGAACGTGTCCACACTTTATTTATTTATACGGAAATTTGGTCAAAAATTAAGTACCTATTTTTTTTACATAATTCGAATGAGAATCATGTACCGAGTATTCTCCTTAAATATTGATAGTAATTCACCAGTCACCCTGTATATATGGTACCTTATTTCTTATAGCTCTTAATAGATGTGCTACTCGATCACCCCTATAGGTTCTCCTTGCTCGTAGGTCCCCCGCTACACGGCTACATACGTGGAGCCTCCAATCACCCCTTATAACCTTACGACCTCCGAATTCCAACGGATGATCGATAGTTTGGGAGACGCTCTCTATATGATCACTCACGTCCTGCATATAAAACATATGAAAGTTAAACATGGGAGTAAATAAAGTAACATGTGTGGTTGGAATGTACATTATTGTCTTTGCTACAAAACTGGACTGATTTAGGAATAACGTCAAAAAAGAAAAAAAATAGTGTAATTAATTAGTACCAATACCAAAGAAAACTTGATAGGATTTAAGGAGTGTGTTATCGGAATGCAAGATAAAAAAAAATTGCATGGAAAAACCTAATTGTGTACTAATAAACTAAAACGTAAAACTAAATGTACACTAATACAGCACTTGTTATTGAGTAAATAGAATAAAATTGCACTACAAAAAACAAATCAGAAAATAATGAACTGCTTTTATTAAAACAAAAAGTCGCCACCAGTAATTTGATAAAACCGAATATATTTTTATTCATATAAATATGTATTCATTATTTAATTAACATTCAAAACAAGAAATTGACTTTCAAATACAAATCATTCAGAAAATATATAGGGTGACTGGTGAATTACTATCGATACTTGAGGACGTGATATTTGACGATCATATATGACAAAATAAAAATTAATATAACATAAATATTAATAAACTTCTAAGTAAAGTTAACCAAAAGTTATGTAATTAATTACGCATCTTGTGAACACCATACAGATTACAAACGCGTGGTGCGGCGTGGTGTTGTATCAGCACGCCGCCGCACGCGTCCACACTTGGAACACTTGGAACGTGTCCACACTTTATTTATTTATACGGAAATTTTGTCAAAAATTAAGTGCCTATTTTTTTTACATAATTCGAATGAGAATCATGTACCGAGTATTCTCCTTAAATATTGATAGTAATTCACCAGTCACCCTGTATTATAAAATATTCCTAATCAAGCTAGAACATATACGAACTTTGTCTATGGTGGTCCAAAAATTTAATTATATATGGTTGATTACCTGTAAATAATTAAGTACTCCTTGTCGACTCCAGAAGAGCGGGAATTTGAGTACCGAGTCACATGGCGGGCGACGGCTGGGACGTACGGATATCATACAACGAATTAACATCTTGGAGAGTAACACCTGCTCTGATGGTAGAACTTTGCTGTGGAGAAATTATCAAATAAAATTATTAGGAGAAAACTTAGTATATGACTATATAGGCATATACAGGGTGACTGGTGAATTACTATCAATATTTAAGGAGAATACTCGGTACATGATTCTCATTCGAATTATGTAAAAAAAATAGGCACTTAATTTTTGACCAAATTTCCGTATAAAAAATAAATTGTTGACACGTTCCAAGTGTGGACGCGTGATGATACAACACCACGCCGCCGCACGCGTATGTGTGAGTGTGTGTGTATACCTAATCTGTAGGGTGTTCACACGATGCGTAATTAATTACATAACTTTTGGTTAACTTTACTTAGAAGTTTATTAATATTTATGTTATATTAATTTTTATTTTGTCATATATGATCGTCAAATATCACGTCCTCAAGTATCGATAGTAATTCACCAGTCACCCTATATAACCAATTTAATACCAACCAAAAATTTAATACCCAAAACTTTCTATGAGATAATTTTTAAAATATTTTTCTTCTCAAATTATTGAACAGTGTGACACAATAAATTACCATATTGACTATTTTGAGATACCTATTGACTAAAATCAACATCAAATGCAAATGCCATGAATTCTACATATAACCCGTGACGCTCGTTTTATATAGATTGGTGGGTGTTAATATATAACACTAACTCTAAGTGATCCAGGTTGTAATCCCCAGTGAGTATGTTAGCTTGTCTTCTCAACACGTCTCCGAACGGATGCAGGCCTCTCGACAACACGAAGTAGAACACACACCCCAGAGAAAACATGTCCACCGAGGTCGTCTGGAAAAAATCATTATATTACAACATATGTATATATGTATATAAATATATATTATAATGATATAAGTTCCATAATCACTCATTGTTCGACTATAGAAAAGTATTTCATTGATTTTTATTGTAAGAATTAAAGAAAATATCAGTTTTTGTCAAGTATAAAATAAAATTAATTTAATAGGAAAATGTAACAAAAAATAATTAATTAATATACGAACACTTATTGCGTATTAAAAATGGAGGCGCTCGTGATGATGTATTTTTCTTTCTTTATTTTTTTTTTCTATTTGATTTTGTTTTTTCTATTTGATTTTTAAATCAAGGTTGTAGATAACACAAGATATATAAATGTGAAATTCATTGAATTAAGCCCGAGACGCCCCAACAGACAAACAATGAAAATTCATTACATATTATTTGTATTATAAAAACAATGCAATTGTTAAAAGATACGAATAAATTGTTTTAATTACTTTATTTAAATGAATGGTTGGAAATCTTTACAGAGCATATAAAAAACTGTCAACAAGTGGCCACAAACAATAAAGAAATTGTATTACACTCATTGGGGGTTTTTACATACAGTCAGTGTGAATAGATTGGAAAAAAAAATACCTAATTGCAATTAAAACCCATAACTACTAGGAAAAATCTAGTTGAGATATTATTAAAAAAAGCCACTGGTTATATTATTCACATGACAAAAAGAGAATAATTTCAGTACATGATAATGATCACATTAATTAAAATCATTTTGTTCATATAAACTGACATTAATTTTGTTAAGAAAAAGTTATATTAAGTAACATGAGAAACTTTCGAAAAGTTTGACCGTAAAACCGAAAACTGTGGTTTATGATCGTCATATTACGACATAAAATATATTATATAGACATATGTATATTCATTATACTCTTCTTCTTCTACTTAGCAATTTCCCAGCTTTTAGCCAGTTTTAGATGTGTGAATAGTTTTGGCTAATTGTTTTTACGACCGGCCGCCTGCCTGACATCAACCCTCTTTTGGGAATCAGCATTAATCAGTGATGTCTAAATACTCATAGAAAGTACATATGACTCCGAAAATTCACATTGGTACTCCGCCAAGGTTTGAGCCCGCGCCCTCGGCGACGAGAGGTGGACCCTTTAACCACTAGGCCACCAGTATTGTGATCGTAAATTATGGTATATATAAAGCCTACTAACCGTTCTCTCTCCATTAATCATCTCGGGTGCTATCCATCCATCAGTGCCCGTGACTCCTGATCGTCTTGAGAAGCTCACCTTCCCTATGTTCAGTTTCTTCGACAATCCGAAGTCTGATATCATAGCGCGAACTTCACCGGTACCACTCGGCATTGACAGCAGTACATTATGGGGCTTTATATCTCTGTGGACTGAAACATATATATGTGAATACAGTTTATATGTTTGTTTATGTTAAAGTAACATGCTGTCTGTCTGTTACTGATTATCTCTGAAACTTGCTACTATTGCTATTGGATGGTTGAAATTATCAGAATTTATATTTTATATGTATGATAAATTGATAAGTAATTGTATATAATTAAGTGTTACTAGTCTATGCTTATACATTATAATTTTAAAGATAATTAAAATAACATCATGTATGTATGCGTTAATTCAATTACAACCTAAGTTTAAACAAAGTAATAAAATTAAAATCCACAAATGTGACAGACGAACTAACAAACATACTCTATAATTCTATATCAGGGTTGTCATGTCTTTTAAAATGTGTATTAACTAAAAATTGTGTTACCTATATCCATGGAATGCAGATGCGACAACCCTAAAGTAGCCTGACGTAGAACCTCCAAGGATTCTATCTTGCATTCAAAGTTTAATTTCTTTTCCACGTAATCTTGCAACGTCGCTGAGCAGAGCTCCAGAGCTATGTATCTGAAAAAAGAAAATAATAAAACGTTTATATATATTTAATTCGCATACTATTTACACGAATGTTACGCAAGCATAACCAGATATTAAGTTTACGGTATAACAATGGTATAAAGTATGAAATGCTGACTCTGAACCATCGGTGGAAATGCAAAATGGGATTTAATATAATATATTCATTCTGGAGTCAACCGCTAACTTACAGACACCTATTTAGGATGTAGTTAGTTATAAGATATAATTATAGAATGGGTCTTAAGTCAATCGCTGACTTAAAGACCCCTCCCTAGCTAGTAGTTAAATATAAATCTATAAATGTTAAATTGAATATATTTCATAAGTGAAACGGATTTTTCTTCCATCCTTCGCTGCAACCAAACGTAATTCGAACACCATAATAAATAAATAAAATTATTATTATTCACTTTTATTACGTTACCTAAACTGTTTGTCCCTCTCAGTACAATAGTATCGTACTACATGCGCGTGCGCATCGGATTCTCTTAACAGCGCCACCTCGCGGTCGGCGAAGGTAAAACACTCTGGTAGGAGTCGCTTTACAGCCACCGCTCGTTTGTCGAATGTACCCCTGAACAAATATAAATATACATAAATATTCTTAAGTAAATTAATTTAATTAACTAATACTAATTCAATTGTTGAATTAAAAAAAGGACATAATGATATAGTTTTTGTAATTCACTCTTTAAATTATTTATATAATAATATGGCAAATTTACATATTAATTATCGGTGAACGATAAAACAAAACGTTGTTTTAAATGAAATGAAAGCATTTTACAGGTAACAGATTCGAATATTAATCCTCGGTTTACGATTTAAAAAACCTCGTATTGAATGAAATAATGCACTATGAAATCAGTATTTGTTTTATAAAAATCTGATCATTGATGGAATTTTCACATTACTTATGATAATAATATCGATTCTTTTCCGAACCGGTGGTAGTGTCACAAGTGACCATCAATAAGAAAGTGTAATGCTTCTTCTATATTATTGAATAAAGTTATTTGAGTTTGAACTTTTTTTTTCTATGGGAAAAGGGGGCAACCGAGCTCACGGCCTACTTGATGTTAGGTAGTTACCGTCGCCCATTGACAGATGTGTTGTCGCCCTTGTTTGGGGAAAATGGGGAGTAAAAGGTGGGAAAGGGAGGGAAAGGAAAGGGTGGGAAAAGGGAAAGGGCAACCGGCTCTCTCACTCACCGGACGAAACGCAGCCATTAAAGACTACTTCACGTCGATTTTCTGTGAGAGGGTGGTACTTCCCCGGTCGAGCCAGCCCATGTTCGAGCTGTAGTAACTTGACCACAACTAGGCTCTACCACCTTGAAAAATGAATCTATTCATACATACCTATAAACGAATGTCCCTTCACATCCTTTCCCAAGCACTTGGTCCGTGAAGAAACTAATCTTGCCGATCCTAACCTCCCCTTCCCCTAACTCCTCCAATTGAGCCGTCACCTCTTGTGTAGAAGAACCTCTTGAACCAGACTGAGATAACTGTTGAAATTCACGAGCCTGCAAATACATTTGGTGGTTATTTTCAATATCCTACTAATATTATAATCGCAAAAGTTTGTGAGTGTGTGTGTATGTTTGTCACTTCTTCACGCTCGAACGGCTGAACCGATTTTGATAAAATTTTGTATACAGCAAGCTGCCGTCCAGGTATAACATAGGCTACTTTACACCCCGGAAATCCGAGGGTAACACACACTCGGCGCAGCTAGTAAAACATAAAAACCCAAAGGTTTTGTCATGTTCAAGCCTATAATATTTATTCTTATTATTATATTTAATTGAATTTATTTTTATTCTGATTTACAAAAAGTAACGGTTATCATCTATACTTATATTATAAAGCTGAAGAGTTTGTTTGTTTGTTTGTTTGAAAGCGCTAATCTCTGAAACTACTGGTTCGAATTGAATAATTCTTTTTGTGTTGGATAGTCCAGTTATCGAGGAAGGCTTTAGGCTATATAACATCACGCTATGACCAATAGGAGCAAAGATATAGTGGTAAACGTGTAAAAAACGGGAGAAATTATTTCATCTTTGAAGCCTTCCGTTGCGTGCGCCGTGAAAACGGTTCAAGATACACAAAAAATATGTATTAAAGAATAATAGCTCTTTTAAGGATCTAAGAAACACTCCGCGACAGTATATGTCTATCTTTTAAGATTAACTCACAAAAACCGTTTTTATGGTACCTAATTTGGTCGAAATAATTTGTTTAAGTTGTATCAACATAATAATATTAATCTTTATTCAAATAAACAAAGAAATATGTTGTTGGTTAAGAGTACTTCATTGTGAATAAAAAAAACATAGGTTTTATCCTGAAAATTCTACGGGAACTCGACCATTCCGAAAACCCCACAAGAACGGGAACTAAGTATGTGGGAAGAACCAAAAATCTGCCTTAAGTCACTATTCCACGCGGACGGAGTCGCGGTAAAAGCTAGTATATTAATATGAGTTGGTGTGTTAAAGATTAATATTTTTAATTAGTAATCATACTTAATATAGTTCCTATAGCAACATGTTTGCTATTTACTTACTTATAAAATATAAATATTTTTATAACAGATTATGTTTAAAATGAATACTATATTATTATTAATGTCAATGAGGTTTAATGGGCTGAACCATGAATAAATTCCGTTTTCAAATATCCTTACTGTATTTATAATCATAGATAATATAAAAAATGTAATTCATCTTCAATGCAAGCAAATGTCACAGATTAAAAATATAATAAATATAAACTTTTTACGATAATTCTATAATATAGTATAATGATAACGTACCTGATATCTTAAATACCAGAACAAGGTTACGACCAAACCCATCAGAATTATCAGAAGTACTTTAAGAGCTTTATTTTCTTGCTGATGCAACCATATATATGCTTTCTTATACCACAGATCAGGTCTGAAACTGAATTCTTGGAAAAACTCATCAGTTTGAACAGAGACGGATACTGAATTGGTATTTGACTTCAAATTAGTTTCATTATCCCCATCAAGGTCAGTGACCCGAACCTCACCATTAATAAGTTTAACTGAGTTCTGTGAGTGTGATATAGAGTTTATATTCGGTAGATGCGGCATCCAATTAGTTGTCAGCTCTGGTACTTTGTAATGCCCTAGTAGTAAGTATGGCGGAGTGACGTGGAGGTTTAGATCGTTTAACTGGTAGTGAATGTTCTTGAAGGGCTCGTAGGTAATCTTCTCGGAATTCGCTTGGTTTTCAGTCACTGGACCCTCAAGGAGCAAGGGTTTTGTATGCCCAGTTGATATTGTGACTGTGTTCTTATCCACGAGCGACGATAATGCGTATAATCCATGGTTATGCTCGCCAATGTATAGAGTAGGACTGCAATTTAAATGCAAAAAAGTATTAAGGATTTATCTAGAATCTAGAAGATTCTAAGGGCAAAGTATGCAGTTGATACGTACTATAACTCTATATTAGAATTCTTGATTCCTTGACCATTCCTCAAAGTCGTCGCGTCTTCCATAATGTGGTCTAAAGTATCGTCACCGATTGAATTGAAAGGGACGGATATAAGGCCCTCTCTGTCTAACAGATATGTAGCAACAACCGGAGTCTCGAAATTATGTGACCAAAGAAGATCACCAGTTTTCCTATTAAAGGACATTATCCTACCATTTGATGTCGACGTAAAATGTATTATACCTAAAACATAAACAAGATTTATATAAAAACTAGAAGACCCAGCGAACTTCGTATCGCCCTATAATAAAAAATATCTATTACATTTTTTTATTTACATTTTAGGAGTTTACCTATTAAAGCCATAAATCTCTGTGTTTTGAAGTGCGACAGAATGATTGACATATTATCTAGTTGTCAAATCTAATGTCAAAAAAAACGTTTGTGTCAACAACTACTAATAAATTAAAAATTAATTTAAAAAAACATTGTCCAGCGGACAAAATTGTGAATCTAAACCATTCCCAGATCCCCTTGAACACACACAAAAAAAATTAACAAAATCGGTCCAATCGTTTGAGAGAAGTTCAGTGACATACACACTCACAAAAGAATTATATATATAAAGATAAGATAATAATTTGTCACGTAAATAATAATAATTGGAGAGTATACTATAAGAATCTTAAACTCTCGATAGTTTTGCATCATACTGAGTATCAGAAGTATTCATAAACAATCAGCATCTCACCGTAATCGTTGACCATTTCCTTCGCCATGGCATGCGAGGTGTAATCAAAGAACGTTACATTCCACTTCTGATTCTCATTGTTTGAATCATGCATCAGTATATTATATTCGGTGCGTGCGATGTAAACGCCGCGTTTTCTGTTCGGAGGGCATGTACCACCTTCGCTTTTAAATATCTTTGAAGTATCGAATCCTGAAAATTAATTGGTTAATCAAATACATTCCTGATATACCCTTAGTACGAACTAACATCGCCTAAATAAACTTCAACACAATAGGTTTAACTGATGCAAGCTCGTTCTAAAGTTATGAAACTACATCTTTGATTTTCGAAATAATGTATTCGAAGAAACTAGAATGTTACTAAAGAATTATATGACTTTTGAAGTCAGAGTTAAATAAAACAAGTATCGATCTTTGCATAATTATCGTTGTAATAAATTTCTGATATCGAAAAGAGAATTTTAAAATAATTACGTAAATAATGACTCATACTCGTATATACAAAAAAATCAACCGTTATTTCGTCATTTTTGTACAATTTAAATGTTTTCCACAAATAGTTTGTACGAGTTTAGTTGCAAGCCGACTGGCATTTAACTGATAAGATATATACTCGTATTTTACGGCCATACATATTTCCTTGTAAACGGCCATTATTATTTATCAAACATATTTAAACTCCTTGGTATTAAAAAAAAAGAAAAATTATTGTACTAAAACAATCTATTTGAATTTGTATCAAAAACAATACAGTTTCACATTTTTGTTGCTATAGAAACAAAACTACTTTATTTACAACATAGTAACAAAATATCATGACTGATTATAATAAATTGCCCTTTAATTTATAATTCACTATGTTTAAGACGCGGTTTCGCTCGCATAATTAAAATCAACAATAATGATTCTTCGTTAAATAGATTAAAAAAACTGCCTATGATAATTATCTAAACGAGTGTATGGCCTTTAATTATTTTTTATATCGCAAACGATAATAATTTACGTAATTGTGCTTTCATACAAAATAAATGATTAAAAACAAGCATTACTATACCTAAATACAGGATATATTACTGTGCGCTATTACTCCAATAACGAAATAATAGACAAAACATATGTATATATATGAATGCACATATTACGTACAATGTAAATTGCCTCTGCAGGTCGTAACACAGATAACAAATATTGAAATGAAATTGTATTCGAAGATAATAATTGGATAAACCATATCTTTTTAATAAAATACATTCTTATTACTGGCTATTTTTAGATTGTATTCATGTAGCATTTCATTTGGAAAGTTCTAGAACGATTTTTATGAAACAAGAATTTTGAATTTAGAATGTTTACCAGATATATTCATATAGCATTTCATTTGAAAAATTCTAGAACGATTTTTTGAAACAAGAATTTGAATTTAAAATGCTTACCAGATACATTCATGTAGCATTTCATTTGGAAAATTCTAGAACAATTTTTTGTACACGAATTTTGAATTTGGAATGCTTACCAGATACATGTTCTCTAGTACCAGTTAGTGGGTCGAGTATGAACCACGTGTCGCTCTTCTTCCCAGTATATAATATACCCTCTGTAGACCTGCAGGGGGCATTCGCGACTAGCTCTGGTATGGTAAAGGGTAGCTTCTTCAGCATTTTACTATCACCTCTCGGACCGTACATGTATAGAAAACCATGACGAGGATCCGGTAGAAATTGGGACATGAGATTCCCATGCTGATTCGGCACTTTGACTACGGGCTCTGGAAAAAAAAATCATATTCTACATATATTTTTAAACCACTTCTTATATGTGTAAATGATAATAATAATAATAACAAAAAACAAACAGAATTCAATTAAAAAAAATATTAGATATCCTGCCATATTTACGACACGCTTAAATTCGATTGACGTAGAACGTAGTAAAATTGTAAAAGCGATTATTATTCTTAAAAACGTCTTAAAATTAAAATCGTACGCGAAGAAAACGATAAAAAGGGCAAACAAACAAACGACTTATTGAAGGTCATTCATAAAATTAACTGAGTAATTTAATATCAGAAAGTTAACAGTACAAAAATAATAATATTTTTATACATATATATTATGCAAGACGCAGTTTCAAAAGTAAAAATGTCTACAGTAATACTACTTAAGTTAGTGAGTGATGCTTAGACTAAATGTTTTTTCACACATACACGATAAATTATTATGATTTACTTATAATATTAATGTGGCCAGTGACACTTAGAAACTAAAATTTATGAAAAGATCGAAATTTTATTACATTAGTTTAGAGAGTTTTCCAGTTACAAGAGAACACTTAAATACATACATATAAAAACATAACCACCTTTTTGGGTCACAACTGAGTAAAAATATGATTTGTATATATAGTTGAATGTATATGTCTCTGTTGCGGGATCATTAATTAGAAATTAAATGGTATGAACGGATATGTACATTTTTTAAGTAAATTGTTAATACACAAAAGTTGTTGAATTTCTAATTAAACTTAGTGGGTGTAAAAGACAAAAAATGATGTTTAACAAGAAATTGGTTAAGATTACAGGTACTTTAACTTTATAAATAACTATTTAAAATATTGGTTAGCCATAAACAATGATTTTTCTATATATTCATTTAAAGTATTTAATATTCATTAATATATTTAAAAAACGAAAACATTTAATATAAGAACTTTTTACCACCAAAAGCAATTAAACATGTAAAAACTTTTCAGTTGTGTATAAGATTACTAACAGATAGATGTGTGAGTTTGGAGTGTGTAATTTAATATTCAAAACACATGTGTGATAAATAAGTAATTAAAACTAACACCCATTAATATTAATACAGATTAAACATTTATTTTGATAATATGAATGTTTTTATTTGATAAATCGTTTGATAAAATTGGATAACTGGTATTTATTATCTTTTCAGGCCTTCCCGAAATATTTGTTTATATAAATGTTTTATCAAGTTAGAATAGTATTGTAAGATTTTAGCTAATAAAAACTATAAAAACAATAATTATGGGAAATTAGACTTTAATTCTTATATAATTAACTTGCTATTTGATGTTGATGTACAAACTCAAAAATTGCAATTAAATTTTTAAGTAAAAAAAAATTAACTTTATTTTGGGTAATTTATTTATGTTACAAAGAAAATTAAATAAAGTTCTATATCTTTGACTTCAGACTGATAACTTGTTGATTTATCTTTTACATGGCTCATACTTTCTATAAGATTTTATACTTAGAAATATGATTCAACATATTGCAATATTACATATTAATTATTACATACACAGATATATGTTTTAAGGTAAAAAGACGTAGTATCTATATATTTGATGTTTTAAATACTAAGTAATCACCTAATCCTAAATATATCAATGAAATGATATGAAAATGTTTTATCTTTACCAATATCTTTTACTATCTTTCTTTAGAATTAACCAGAAATGGAACATGAACTATGATATAACCTACTTACTTAATATTAGTGTAGGAGATATATATAATCATATGTAACGTAATTTTTGAATATAGGCAGAAAAACAACAAAATACATGAAGAAAAGTATTGATGGCTATTGTGGCTAGTCTAAAAATATTGGATAAATATTTTTAGCGTCATAATAGTTAAAGTGTAGTCTATTTACCATCTTTTAGTTTCCATATAACATTTCCTGTTGAGGGATCCACGGCCACCATGCCGCCTCCGAGCGTCGCAAACAACAAAGGCCGGTCATCCAAAGCTCTAGACACTTCTGTATTCACCTGCAAAACACATGTTCAACTCACATTCATATCACCTTGCACCTTTAATATTTTACGCGGCATAACAAAACACTTCACCTTTCTATCATTGTCCACATTCGATTCTAGCCCGTAGCACCCCAAAACTAATAATATTATGAAAAAAAACTTCATCTTCGCTCTCAGCAATTACTCCTTACGTAAAAATAGAAACATTTTATTTATTTTTTACGATTAAATTCACGACATTGTATACAACAATATAATACAAAGAATAATCGGGAAATAAAACTGTGTAGGCAGACACTTGCTTCTTGAATCGCCTTACGTCAAATGTCAATGTCATAATGTAAATCCAAATAGATGCTTTAAAAGGGAATGGCAACAATACAAACAATATGTCACATTAAACGACATTTAATAATATAATATGTACAATTTGTCTCAAATTATTGTGCTTTCATTGAAATTATTGTTATGACAATAAATTTTGCTTAATCAACTGCGTTTTATCCTTTTATATAAATTACAACGGCCATCTTAGATTGTTTTGTTTATTGAGCTGACATTGACAATATAAGTCAATGACACCACTCATTAGCAAGACGTCAAAGTCGTTATTCTGTGTTAAATATTCTAACTAAAGAGTAAGGACCTATCGTATGTTTAGTTCCGTAAATATTTAGTGTACTTGGCTCATTGATTGCGAATAATTGCCTAATTATTGAATCAGAATACAGTTGTGACATGGATATTTAGTGCGTTAATAGAACTGAAATATGGAAGTTTCAGGCGCAGGTACGAAACAATTTTTGTTGTTTATGATTTTGATACGACATTAATATATATTTTTATAAAGAATACAGTCTTTATTTACGAAATTTTTAGTAATAATGGATGTAACCATTACTAGTTGTATCTAATTGAATGATTACTTTTGTGTATATTTTTGTTTCTTTGGTAACAAAGAAAAATAGATACAATCACTTCGTAACATACGGTTCTTTAAAATCTTTGTATTCAATTCTTTGTCTATTTCGTATAGGATTTAAATTATTTATAATACTTATTGGGATTTAGGCCACTTATAATTTTCTGAAGTGTCATTCAATTGGCTTCATGCAGTAAACAATATTTTTAGGGAAATCCCCGAATACGTCACTATCGTTTAGGTACAATGCTAATAATGAGGAACTGGAGGAACTTCTTCAAGCTTGTGAGGATGACCCTCCAACACCACAGGCTGAGCCAGCACCAGTCAGGAGTGAAAGTGCCAGCCCCAAAAGAACAGAGAAGAATATATCAATCATAGATAAATATTTCAAATCTATGAGAACAGAGAAAACAAATGAAAAGACAGAGGATATCAAACCAGAGATTAAACAAGAAGAAACTCGTTCTGTAATACCTCCTAAAGAAATCACTTCATCGCCAATGAAAGAGTATTTAAACCGACTCGGAAAAAGAAACACACCAGATGTGGCTCCAGAGGGAAAGGAGGCAAATGAAACTTGGAAAATATTTCATGATTTTAAATTCAAAATAGCTCAAGCTGTCGAAGATATGAAAACACGTTCCGTTGAAGGTAAATGTAATGAACATATAGCAAATAACTATATTTGATGTGTAAATAGTAATTTTTATATTGTTCTGATAGATACTAAAGATAAAACTCTTCCGAGAGAAAACTCGACATCAGATTCTGAAGAGAATTCAGCGGTTAAAGACTCGGATCAACAAAGTATGGGTGATACGGACAACCAAGTGAGTACATTATGAATAAATTTATGTATGACTCCAAAGTTTTTTGTATCTAAGTTTAGAAAGAAACATATTTTACATACATTAAATTGTAATATATAAAATTTATGCTCAGAATTGATATAATAATGGTCAAAATTCTCTTTCAAAAGTAACCTATCAATATTTATTTAATTTACGTTTGTAATTTCAAATTAACAGCTTTTCACTGAACATATATAAAAGTATGTTTATCTATATGCTATACCTCCATGAAAAATAGGGAGTTAAAATATTTGTCTATATGTCTGTTTGTTCCGGTTAATCTCTGAAACGGTTGTAAGATTTTAGATAGGTAATCTCAATAAAATAACTTAGACTGCTGTTAATCAACTTCAAAAAGAAAGAAGTTCTCAATTCAACTAAGTATTTGTTAAACTATTACTCCATAAATTAAAGGCCGGTATTCAATATTATTTGTTTAATCTCAAGGTTATTGACCTGATGTATATACATTATCACTAAGTCAGAATCCGATTAAGGAATATTCAAGAAAATTAATGGAACCTCATAATGATAGCTCATATCTCAAGGGTGTTTAGGTATGTAGGCAAACCATAGGGAACAGCTAGTCCATTAATAAATATACACACCACAATAATATTATAAGAAATAGTTAATATTATATGTATGACGAATAATAAGTTTTTATTTATGACTATTTTTTGCCCTCGACTTTGTTCGCTTTAATTTCGGAATTATTAATACTTATATGTATAGTTGACCGGGCGAACTCTATTATTCCTGTAAATAACCAGATATTGGAGTAAATATTTTTTTTCTTTATTTAGACCAAACAGAATTAAATATTAAACGTCCGTCTCCTGGTTCTAAGCTATCTCCTACTAATTTTCAACCACATCCCTACAGCCGTTCTTGAGTTATAGTGGAACTAACACGCCTTTTTTCATATATAAGACTCCAAACAAGATACTAATGTTCTAAATCAGTGTTTGTTGTGGATGTGTTTATCTCATAATAACAATGATAATTTATATCTGTATAATCTAAAGGTGTCTTCATTGGACAGCAGTATGCAGAACTTATCTGACATGACTCAGCCGCTAACAGCCAAGCCTATAGACTATGAACTGATAAAGGAAACGAATTTAAACAAAAGCCATTCGGAATCTAGCGATGATACGCATAAGAATTTACGTGAGTTTATATCTTTATATATTTTAGAGTTGTAAGTGAGAAAAATGTTATTTTTATGTGTTAAATTACCTAGCATATTAATAATTTTATCTATCTTATTTTGTTTTATTTTCTATTTTGTCTTTTTTTTTATTCGCATTTTCAATGTTTGATTGGGGTGAATAGATTTTTACTGGGGTAATTCGTTTACCGTCAAATGTAATGAATAATGATAGCCAAACATTAACTTTCTTATATTATATATAATATCTTGCAATCCTAAGACGATAATCCAATGCATAAATATTTTTATCTCAAATTTTACATAATATGAATACCTATTAAATCTTGTAGCATATCAAGAATCTGACTTAGCGCGGGAATTCTTACAAGACAGTATAGAGATAGAGTCCGGTGTTGAAGCTCTGGAGGACACTATCGACGCTTTTGGTGACGCGAATCAGATAGAAATGGAAGATAATAAAAGAACAACAGAAACACCAACAAACCAAGCGAACACATCAAACTTCGGACAACCACCAAACAAGAACAATATACACAAAGACGAACCAAAGAAAAACTATTTCTTTAAATTCTCAATGTATTTCCTAACTATATTTCTATTCGTCAATTACGTATTATTCCCTAATTCGAATATATGGAACGGTTTCCTATTGGGCATTTGGTTTTTCTGTTTCGCAACAAACGTCCGTGATTGGCTGATGGATAACTACTTCAGGGACTGGGAACCGAGGAAGGGTGGTTTCTTCCAATTGAAACAGAGCGCAACACTACCATTTATATATACTATACCAACTATTAAAGAGCACAAGCCGTTGAAAAAGTTTGAGGTTTGTTATATTATTATTATTTTTTTTTAATATAGATCATGTTAAAATATTTATTATCTGTGTTTCAGGGTTGGTTAAATCATTATAGGTTTCCAGACTACGATCCCTTTACTTATCACATTAATAAGACAACAACAGCTTTCGTCAAACTTGAAGGTAAGTGTATACATATACAGGGTGACTGGTGAATTACTATCGATATTTGAGGACGTGATATTTGACGATCATATATGACAAAATAAAAATTTATATAACAAATATTAATAAACTTCTAAGTAAAGTTAACCAAAAGTTATGTAATTAATTACGCATCGTATGAACACCCTACAGATTAGGTATACACGCACACTCACACACATACGCGCGCGGCGGCGTGTTGTTGTATCAGCACGCCGCCGCACGCGTCCACACTTGGAACACTTGGAACGTGTCAACACTTTATTTATTTATACGGAAATTTGGTCAAAAATTAAGTACCTATTTTTTTTACATAATTCGAATGAGAATCATGTACCGAGTATTCTCCTTAAATATTGATAGTAATTCACCAGTCACCCTGTATAAAAAATTCATTAAAATAATTTCACGCTATTTAAATATAATAATTTATAAAAAATATCTTTATTCAAATGTAAACGTCATTGTAACGGTTGAATATCATTTGAAGTTGATTCATCGTAATTATTATGCAACAGATAATATGTAATGTTTAATAATAAAATGTGTACAATCGCGTCAAAACTAATACGACCTTGAAAATATTATCATCGCGACCGTTACTTTATTTTATGCTGAATTAATATATTCCTTTGCTATAGAAATATATTAAAAACGTGAATTCTAAAGACATCGGAATAATTTTTTTTAATAGCTTAATGCCTTTTATATGTGTTTTGACGGATTATTAAGTTTATCTTGCTTTCAATATAATTATTGTCATTGACTTAGATCCATAGTTTTTTTTTATTATATGTATATCGAATTCTCCTTTAATATTAACCAGGTTGCAACCTCCGCATATCATACACAAGGACAAAAGTTGCTAAACGCGCTCTTTGGGACGAAAAGATTGAAAATGTGACTTTCTACCAGCACAGACTATACAACCTCACTGGTGCGAGAGTCATCTTGCTTCCGAAAGGTTTAGTCAAAAGGAGGTTTGTATAGAATTTTAATTTTATATTATTTATGAGAAAAAAATAATTAAATAATTTATGCTATAAATTAAAATATTTGTGTGCGTGACGGTATAACTGCGTGCTACTATTATGTGTAAGGTACTTTAATTATAAATTGCGGACTAAAAAATAATTTATGTCTTGACACAAACGTCTCTAAAGAGTAAGAGCACTAGAAATCTAGAATTTAAAAAAACTTCTTAAATTAACTCTAAACATAATTTCTAACAAACACATTAGCGAATTTACGTAATTTATTTACGCATTAATGTAAAATATAACTTTATTATAGAGAAATGTGCGTCTTAATCTGAATAAATATATTTTATGTAAACAAAAATAATAAATAATGTAAACAAACCTACCAGAAAAACTATCATATGAATAATTTTAATTAAGTATATTTATTAAGTTAATTTGTGTCAATTAACTACGTAATATACATAAAGCACCAAACAAAACAACGTTGAATTTTTAACATGTCTAAACGAATGTTGTATTAAAAGCACGCGATATTGATCGTCGCCCCAAAAATATTCTTAGTACATATTTCAAATATTTAAATTAATGCAACAATACATATGGGAAAGATTTGATTTGAATAACAAATAAAAGTATTAAAAAACTTGTCATAAACATTCCTCATATATATGTTTTTGTTTCGTGTTTTTACGTTCCAAATTTGAATTTCTCACAACGCAACACACAGTCCTGACCTTGAGAGTGTAAGTTTAAAAATTGAATTGCGTTGACCAATAGGAAGTTTTCGTTTTATTTGTTATTATTCATTATTCATACTTATATTCTGTAGTCTCATTTAATGTTTGAAACGTTTTAATTTATCCTCGCCCGAATTATCTCTGATGCTTTATTATTTCAACGCTAATTCCGTTTTAAATGTATAAATGGTATTCATATTGTCTATAAGAAGATCTATCCGCCATAATGATTAAAAACTGGAAGGAATATCCTTTAATGTTTGTTTTACATAAAAAACAAGGACGTTTAGAATTTTCCTTTGTTTTCCAAATTAATATTATTAAATAACAACATAATTATATATACCAATATGTCAATTTGTATCGTAGGCGTCCATAATTTCATTACATCCTAATCACATTGTTAGATTGTCATTATCCGAGACACTAATTTGACTTAATGACGCCTAAATTTGTTTTGATCGTTACAATACTTCAGTCTAGACTTGATGACCTATTTTCTTGTTTTATATAAAGGCAATGGAGCAAGAAATATCCAATTTGCATAATATTGAACGAAAAGGAGAAGATACAAGTGTTGGAAAAAGAAAATACGGATAAGAAATCCGATGCACAAGAGAAGAAAAATAAAGATGTACCGGCTGAAGTTGAGAGCGCCGAAACAAACACGACGCCCGAAAAGAAAAGGAAGTTTGTGTGGAGAAAGAAAGAGAAGAGGTAATTTAATGAGATATATATATATATAGTTAAAACATTTACATAAATATAATACTCATACTATTAACTTAAATAAACAAAATATTATCAATTTTTTATATCACGTCGTCGAATTTACGTCGACACTAGCTTGTGAAGATTTATGAGTGAATACGTAAAACTGACAATGTTTTGTTTAGTTCGAACGAAAACTTGTATTAATGCGTTTATGTCCTTTAAATAGGTATGCATGTACTTAGGTATATGTATATAGATTATGTTTATTTTCCGGTACTACGCAATTGCTACAGCGAGTATAATAATTACATGACACAGAATAATTTAAACTACTTTGTATACTAAGTATAACTTGACTGACTGCTTTATAAACTATGTTCATGTGAATATTTCATGTATTGAATATTATGTTAGTAATAATATTAAATATTAAACACCTGATGACGTCAATATTATTATTGTAATATTTAATGCATATAATGTATATTCTAGTATTACACATCCGGAAATTGAACCCGGTAAAGAAGGACTTCGTCACAGACTTGTGAGGAAAATGCACAGAGGTGAGTTTATAAACAATATTTATATATTTAGAAATAATATACACATATATACATGTTGCATGTGTGTGTGTGCGTGTGTGTGTTGATGATTTAATATAGTTTAACAAATAGATAAGTAAAACATTATTTTTCCTTTATTCAATAAGTCATTGTTTAGTTATATGTAATTGATATTTTCTTTTTGTTAAATACTTTTAAAACTGATTGCAGTACAATATATAGATATACTAGCTTTAGCACGCGACTTCGCGTTAATTTTGGCATTAGTAATGTATGTATAGCTGACCGGGCGAACCCTATTCCGTCCCAGAGGTCATAAATAACCAGATATTGATCTTTATTAAGTTTTTTGTTCTTTTCGATCGATCAGAATTAAATACCCTATGTCCGTCTCCTGGCTCTAAGCTATCTCTCCACCACTTCAACATCCCAACAACCGTTCTTGAGTTATAAATAGTGTAACTAACACTATTTCCTTTGATATATAGATGTAAGTTTTGTGACAAATCACGTAAGTTAATTACCATGCTTATCACAATTTTCATATTAATTATTAAGTGAGGTGATAAATCTCAGTTCTAAGCGCAACTTAAATGTTTTCGTTTCAATCCATATTAAAATTGAAAATATCACACATTTCAATAGAGTTTAAGTACAAATTAGAATTATGTACAGAATTGAATATATTATTGTATATATATTTCAACTTTCCAATTATTTATTAGAGCCACAAAATTAACATATCTTTTAAGTATATACATATACAGGGTGACTGGTGAATTACTATCAATATTTAAGGAGAATACCCCGGTACATTATTCTCATTCGAATTATGTAAAAAAAATAGGTACTTAATTTTTGACCAAATTTCCGTATAAATTAATAAAGTGTGTACACGTTCCAAGTGTTCAAGTGTGGACGCGTGCGGCGGCGTGCTGACACATCACCACGTCACAACACGCGTATGTGTGAGTGTGTGTGTATACCTAATCTGTAGGGTGTGCACACGATGCGTAATTAATTACATAACTTTTGGTTAACTTTACTTCGAAGTTTATTAATATTTATGTTATATTAATTTTTATATGATCGTCAAATATCACGTCCTCAAATATCGATAGTAATTCACCAGTCACCCTGTATATTTTACATATTTAAACTATCGAGGGACTTGTTCGTCTCTATTTGATTGACTAAAACAAGTTTATATCTATTTTTAGAATTAATTATTATTCATAGTATTGCGAATACTTTTTTTTTTTGAGAGTATAAGATTTTTTATTCTTGTAGCTCTTTTTGATATTCATTGATTCAAATTTAAATTCGATTTGTATAGAAATATTAGGGTAATTGTCACACTCTCATTATTCACAAGAAGTTGAAATTATTTCTCCTTTTTATATAATATTGGGAATATTTATTTATTTTTTATTTGATCTGATTTAATGAATCTAACAATGATAAGATTATAAACATACGCGTGCTAAAATTACTGTTTATTCACAATTAAAATGATACACTGGTTATGTTTTCCAATTGTTAGATAATTTATTACAAAACGGTAGTTCATAAAATACTTCGCGCTACAATTGACTTTTTTAACCTCCTCCCCTTTTTTTACGCTGAGTATCACTTTTAGTGAACCCTAGAAATAATTTGTCACAAACACTAAGATTGCCCCCTGGATATAGTAAAAATTACAATGAATAAAAATTATTCAATATTAAAATATTATATAGAAATATGTAAAATCGTCCGTATTAGTGAATTGCTAAATAATAAATGACAGAATAATACAATTATGATAGTAATTTTTTTTTGTTACTGTGTTAAGAGCATAGAGTACTTATAGTAAGTCTTTCAAGTGTTGGAAAAATAACGCCTCAATAAATGTCAAAACACAAGTACCTCATTAAGGCTAGCGCGCATGTAAAAAAAATAGGTAATACAGTGAAATCTGGTTAAGTTTGTACATTAGTTTTACTTATAGAGATATTTCCAGGTAGAGTTTTTTTGGTAGAGGTTTTTCCACTTACTCATTGTCGAAATATATCAAGTATAAATAAACATTTTCCTACGATAAATAAACATTTACAGGGGGTTCAAATAATAGACGTCAAAAAACAGGTTGTTTCAGTGATAGAAGTGATTAATTATGATTTATTTTTATATAAATATGTATATGCATGTAATACAAAGAGAAAACAAAATAAAGTGTTAATCAATAAAAAGGAAATCAAAAGTCTTTCAAGTTGAACTAAACTTAGTTCCGAGCAAACTTCGACGTGATGAAAAAATCATGACCCATGTTCAGCAGTAAGTTCTCCAAAAAGTATTACATATTGTCGAAGTTTTTAACATCTTTGAATGATGCCGTTGGTTAATTTTATTGCTGATTCCTTGGTTCTAATCTTAGGGTTAATATCTGTCTTCGTCCACCTCAAGCTAAATAATTACGCCAAAGAACTTGGCTACGATAACGAGTTAAGGCTTAATTTCTTCATTTTTCTTATAAACTTGGATATTTCCGTTAGTACAGCAAAAATGAAAGTGAAAATTTTTAAGCTTCAAAACTAATTTCATAGTTAAAAAGGAATTTACGATGCAATAAAAATAAGTTAGTAAATAGTCAAGATGTTAAAGCATCAAGTTTCAATGCATTGTAATAAAACTATGTATTTTGAAAGTCGATATATTATCTATTATATATCTATCATAATAAGAAACCAAACAAGAAAAAGAGTCGAGAGAAATATTATGTATAAATTTAAAATTTAAATGTAATGTTAATACTACTACGTTGCATTCGACCCCCGTCCTACATATATGTCGTGTCATATTCAGCTAAGCCCCTTACTTCCTAACCCCTGTATGCGGAAGTATTTTAAGCACGGTAATAATAATCAAACATAGAGTAATTACAGTTTAGATGATGAATTGTGTGTACTTGACATAATATTCAATATAAACATGTCAATTGTCATACGTACTACAATACACGATTCAATAATATATACACGTCTTAGCAATAATAATGGCAATATTAAATTAATTCTAAAATAATCACAAACTGACAGTCATTAATAAATTACAAATTGATAATAAAACGAAAATAATGATTTCGTAGCATGATGCAAATACGATATCTGTTACCTACTTAATAAGAAACAAGAAAAAAATCTCTTTAAGAGAAGTAGATTTAGAAGTAGATTAATATAACTTTCATCTATTCCCTATAAAAAAAATCTTCCTACATTCCTAATTATTTATGCCACGCTCACTAATTTCATATAAATATTCCTCAGACAAGAAGATCGACAACACGTCACAATGCACCGAACCTGAGACAAGTCACTCAGATAAGAACACACAACTGGAATATGAAGCGGTGGAGACGGAAATAGAACTGACTAAGACCGCGAACAAGGACGAAGACGTGGAGCTTGATGAACACGAGTTGACGAAGATCAAAGAGTGTCTAGAGGAAACTGTGAGTGACATATACATAGTAGGAACAGAAGTAAAACACGTACAGATTATAACATACACGCTCTCATACTATCTACACACTAACGAGAAAGGTTAACATTAAGTCTAAATTACACACACAAACAATATATGTATGTATGTGTGTACAATTCTGATGATACAGACACTTTCATCTCGTTTTCCCACCAATTGGAAAGGTTAACCTGAAGTCGAAACTATCAACTGACATGAAATTAATTAAACTTCGCAACTTAGTTTATATCGATGAATTGATTATTCAAAGCTAATCCTGTTTTATTATCACTAAATTTGAAAATATTTCAATATTATATAAGTGTAGTCCAATAAACGTATTAAAATAGGAAAATATGTAATCAAAATTTTATAATAATGATATTTATCTATGATTAAAATTATGTAGGAATTGGAGACGGGCGCCGACGGTGCGACCGAGGGGGAATGGAGCGTACACGTCAAACACTCACGAGATAAACATTCCAGACTGTATCTCTTCGCAAGGACCGGGAGAGATAAACTTGAATGGTATGACACACACACACACAGAGGCAAGCACACACACACACACACACACACACAGAAACACTTGTATATAACTAGCTTTCCGACCGCAGCTTCGCCTGCGTGTAGTTCGGTTATACCGCGTTTCCCAGAGAACCTTTCAAAAGTCTGGGATAAAAACTATCCTGTTCTTTCTCAAGGTCAACTCTATCTCTGTACCAAATTTCATTAAAATCAGTTCAGTGGTTTAGGCGTAAATGCGGAACAGACAGACAGAGTTACTTTCGCATGTATAATATTAGTAGGGATTGTCTGGTTAATTTAGTACCATGCCCATATTTTCATTATTAAAACTAATATTTTTCGTTGAACAATAATGATAACCAGTTCGCTAACAGCTTTGTAAATATCGAAGAGTTATAATACTAAGGGACATTTTGACAAAAAAATTATATTGAAATATTTATTAGTCCATAACACCTCTTATTGTATTGACTAAGGTATAACAGACTTACAAAAGAGAGTCGTTAGTAATAATCAATTAGTAATAATATCTCAGTTAATCAATAAAATAAAATAAGTAGGTTAACGAATGTATAATCATTTATTCAATCCAGCATAATCAAATTTAAATTAATCAAATCCAGCCAAATCCAGTTCAAACTAATTAATTAAATCTATTCGAAAGAAACTAACATTTTCGGATTTTACTTCACGTTATTTTTGATTACAAACTACCTACTCCCGACCAGTGGCGGCCGGTGGGTTTTCGAACCGGTGGTGCACTTTACTAAAATATTAAAATTAGGAAATGGAACCAAACATAACGAGATGTCAATCATGGCTCAATTCGTCATACATCGGGTGCTCTCGGTAATCTTCGGCCGCTCGTGCGGCGCTCGAGAACCGACTCGTTACTCGGTACATTTCTATGAACTATCATTTGTTTCACGCGTCAGGCGTATTAATGCGTATCTCATACAAGATGTATTAGCAGTCCTCGTGCACTCGCCGAAGCGCACGATATGAATTTTGTAAAGCGCTCAAACTTTTTGACCATAATTAGTAAATTTAATTTATTATACGTTTTTATATGTTTAAAAAATAAATAGTAAAATAGTAATTTAAAAATAAAGATGAAGTAATATTTTGTAATTTTTAAATCTTTTAAATTGGTGGTTCAGCGCACGAGTGCACTTAAGGTACAACCGCCACTGCTCCCGACGTTTCGGCTACTTTTCAGCAACCGTGATCACGGGCAGACGGGTAGTTTGTAATCAAAAATAAAAACTCGAAGTAAAATCCGAAAATATTAGTTTCATTTAAATGAGTACTCGTGAAAATCTTAGATCTCATTAAATCTATTTGAATCCAGCTCAAACCGGTTATTCATATCAAATGTCATGACTATCTCTTCTTCTTATTCCAGGTATCGAAGACTCCTAGTAGCGGTATCAGAAGCTCGTTCAGACTCACCCAATGAGGACGAACGACACACGGACGACAAAGACATTGAGCTCGCTGTGTACAAACTCACTGAGAAGGATACTGTCGCCTTCGCTAAGGTTATAAGGCTTATTACACACTAACGGCTATTAACAAAAAAAGATTAGCTTAACTGAACTAAATTTGGTTCAGGTCATTACTATCTAGGAGTTGATAATGCAAACATGTTTTATATATTAAAAGCTGTATAACTCTTTACCTTTAAGTATTGTCAATTCAAAATCTCTAAATATATTTAAAAAACGATTAAGAACCCATATATTAGAAGACTTCACTGATCTTGTTTAATATCACTATTGTTTATTATTTGTAATTGTAGTTATAGTTTTTAAAATTTCCTTTGTAAGCGAACTCTGTTCTTTTTGGAAATAAACTTCTTTAAACCTAATATGTCAATATATATAAATCAAGTGTCACATGTTTATCCGCAACGGAGCTCTACACTACTTGACCGGTGTTTTATTATATTTGCACACCGCGTGCAGTTTCATCCAATTTGAAAGATAGGATAGCTTACTAGCTAATATACAGGGTGACTGGTGAATTACTATCAATATTTAAGGAGCATACTCGGTACATGATTCTCATTCGAATTATGTAAAAAAAATAGGCACTTAATTTTTGACCAAATTTCCGTATAAGTAAAAAAAGTGTTGACACGTTCCAAGTGTTCCAAGTGTGGACGCGCGCGGCGGCGTGCTGATACAACAACACGCCGCCGCGCGCTAGTGTGTGTGTGTGTGTATACCTAATCTGTAGGGTGTTCATACGATGCGTAATTAATTACATAACTTTTGGTTAATTTTACTTTATTACATTTGAATGATAATAATTATTTATTTATGTACATATTTATTTATTAAACATGCCTGAAACATTTAAAACAAAAATATGTCACAGGAAAAATGAGTTTAAAAGATATACTTATCCCTAGAAGAGATTTCTTCCAGTATACCCAAGAAAGAAGAAATGTAGACAGAAAACTAAAACTGTAGACAGGCAAAATCGTACAAAAAGAGAAAAGATACAACAAAAAAAAACATAAACTTATACTAGACAAAATGGAAATAAAAAAATAAAATTAATTGTATTTATTCCTATGTTATTTAAATAATATATTATTTAATTTCCAGTCTAAATCCAACGAGCAGGTGTCTGAAGGGGTCACTATCAGTAGTACAGCGCAGCCGCTGCCTTCAAACTTTGATCTATATGAAAAGTCGTTCTGGCCATACTTACTGAAGATAATACAGGTAGGATTATCATGTTTTTGATAATTATAACTAATAATTAACAATTTTTCTATATGATATATATATTAATACTATAGATTATGAAGTGGAAAATATTAAAAAATTCATAAAAGAGTTCTTGTATTGTATCACATTATAATCGTCGCGAATAATAAAAGAAAGTCTTAGGTTCCCTTTGAAATAGGTTACAAGCAATTAAAATTATTTGGATACATAAATATTTAAATAAAAATCACAATTAACATTTAACCACAACTAAAATTATAAACAGCAATTTTATTTACAATCTTGCAATATTTTTCATTCATACAGGCCTTTTTAACTTAGCACCATCATCAGCGCATACCTTTATTAATAGATTGTATAAATTTTTAATATCATTTATAATCACTGCAATACTTTCCAATAGCATATTCAACCAGAAACATTACTTTTAATCTCACCAAATAAATTTCATCTCATGCTTTATAACTTTTTTTAACTAATATTAAGTTTCACAACATATATTTAATACAATCATATCGTTCATAATTCTACTATATCTTTACTAACACGTCATGTATAGAACCATGAGACGTCTTCAAAACAAACAACGGATGCCGGCGTCATGTGTCAGATAGAACCCACGCCTCACGAAAGGAGTAAGAGTAGGAAGAAGAAAAAGAATAGTGTAAATATATAATAAAGATATAGTATACATATATAGAGATATAATATGTGGAGATATTTTGATGTAAAGTGACTAATAATATTCATATAGAGTATGAACAGTGTGTTATAATGATAGAATCATTTAGATTATGTAAAGGATTGAAGGACAATGTGTAAATTGTAATATATATTATATATGTTATAATTTATATAATATGTATTAGCATAATTTAATTATAAGAAATCTAATATCTTGATCAGTGGCGGCTGGTGGGTAATCGAACTGGTGGTGCACTTTACTAAAATATTAAAATTAGAAAATGCAATAACGAAATGTCAAAAACGGCCGGCTCATTTCGTCATACATCGGGTGCTCTCGGCAATCTTCGGCCGCTCGTGCGGCGCTCGAGAACCGACTCATTACTCGGTACATTTCTATGAACTATCTTTTGTTTCACGCGTCGGGCGTATTAGTTCGTATCTCATACAAGATCTATTAGGAGTCCTCGTGCACTCGCCGTAGCGCACGATATTAGTTTAGTAAAGCGCTCAAACTTTTTGACCATAATTAGGAAATTTAATTTTTTATACGTTTTTATATGGCTAAAAATTAAATATTAAAATGGTAATTTAAAAATAAAAATGAAATAATATTTTGTAATTTTTAAATCTTTTGAATTGGTGGTTCAGCGCACGAGTGCACTTAAGGTACAGCCGCCACTGATCTTGATAACACAGTTACTAACACCCTGTGAATAGTATCAATTTGTTGTTTATTTATAGGTATAGTGTTATGTATATACATAGTTTGATTTATATAAAGTGTAAAAATAATAGTATACTGACATCGTTAATTCGCAGCGACAACAATAGATTGTATACGGGTTCGACTCCCTGTTGGGAAAAAGTTATACTAGAAATTACATATAAAGATACATTCCTAAAACATACTGTAATCAGTATTGATCTACAAATAATCTGTTTATACAATACTAGCTGCGCCCCGCGGTGTTACCCGCGGATTTCCGGGATGTAAGCAGCCTATGTGTTATTCCTGGACGTCAGCTTCATGTATACAAAATTTGATCAAAATCGGTTCATCCGTTTGAGCGTGAAGAAGTGACAAACATACACACATACAAACATAGTAGGATCATTATGATTAATGTATAACCCGCCACTCCAGTCGCAGGGCGCGGAGTGCACGTGCCGCGTGTTGCCGTCGGAGGTGTCGTGGGTGAACACAGTGCTGGCGCGGCTCATGTATGACGTAATGAGGGATCCGGCGATGGTGGCGCGCGTGCAGAACAGGATACAGAGGAAACTCAACACGCTCAAGGTATAACATATGTGAATATGAACAGCCTGTATGTGAATAGATAATATATAAGTATTACATAGTTATTTGGATCTATCTCTATGTGTAAAAAAATCAAATGCTAGAATTCTATGTCAAAATAGTTAATAAAAGAATTCTAGATAGTAGGTACACTGATTATTTAAAGGTCGTTATTGTATTCTACTGAAATAATAATAAGAACGAAGTTTTCAGATTATTACGCCTTATTTTATATTTTAAAGTAACATACTTCCAACGTTCTAATAACGTTGTAGCGAACGTGATTATGGTCAGACGAAATGCTCCTTTAAAATACTAAAATATGCGTAGTAATTTCGATAATGTAATTTTATTAAATGATGACTTATATCTCTGTGTGTAATAATAAGAATATAAATTTTCGTAACTTACATACGGACAGTTAGAGCACAAGTAACATAAAAGTAGACAATTAAACTCATCGGCTAACAAGTAATGTGTGTAGTTGTACTTGTGTGAGTGTTGTTAGCAGTGCCGGCGTTAGGGGGGGCGATGAGGCGACGGCCCAGGGCGCCAAATTTGGGGGGGCGATTAGTGGAGGTAGGATACTTATAAATGAAAAAAAAATATAGGAGCTACATAACTTTCTACGTCCACGTCATTAGCTCTGGGTCACGCTACAGGAAAGATGGCAGACGGTAGATGGAATATACAATTGTTAATACACGTTCAGTGTTCACATTGGTGCAGAAAAAAATTAATACTCTATTTTGATTCCTCAAGTGGGCGCCATAATATTCTTGCCCAGGGTGTCAGTCCCTCTAACGCCGGCACTGGTTGTTAGTATACAGGGTGACTGGTGAATTACTATCGATACTTGAGGACGTGATATTTGACGATCATATATGACAAAATAAAAATTAATATAACATAAATATTAATAAACTTCTAAGTAAAGTTAACCAAAAGTTATGTAATTAATTACGCATCGTATGAACACCCTACAGATTAGGTATACACTCACACTCACACATACGCGCGCGGCGGCGTGTTGTTGTATCAGCACGCCGCCGCACGCGTCCACACTTGGAACACTTGGAACGTGTACACACTTTATTTATTTATACGGAAATTTGGTCAAAAATTAAGTACCTATTTTTTTACATAATTCGAATGAGAATCATGTACCGAGTATGCTCCTTAAATATTGATAGTAATTCACCAGTCACCCTGTATATTATTAATGTATGTGTGTGTGTGTGTGTGCGCCAGCTGCCGTCGTTCATGTCCCCGCTGCTGGTGACGGAGCTGGTGCTGGCCGGCTCGTGTCCCGCCGTGTGCGGCGTCGGCCCGCCCTCGCTGGACGCGCGCGGGCTGTGGCTGCACGCGCTGCTGCGGTACGACGGGGGCGCCACCATCACCATCCTCACGCAGATCAACCTGCTCAAGCTTAAGGAGAAGAGTCAGTACACACACACTATATTAAATAAAATTATCTTTCCCTTAACTGTTAAGGGGAAGGTAATTTTGTTCGCGTCTTAAAGAGCCGTTCAAGTATTATGTAAGCACTATGGAAGGGCGGGGGGTCTTTGGTTTGATTATTTTGGATGACATGGGGGTAGAGGAGTCTAGGTGATGATTACGATATCGGTAATTATTTACTTTTTAATCGTCACATGGAGAAGACCCATAAAAAAATATAATTGTATTTTTTTCTGGATTTATATTAAAAAAACAATACAGTAATTGAAAATGTTTACGTAAGCATGGGGGGAGGGGGTACGAGCTTTTCTTACTTTTGCTGACAAGGGGGATGGGGGGGTAAATAATTGTAATAAATCTGCTTACGTAATACTTGAACGGCCCCTAAGGGGAAGGTTGATTTTTTATTTATGATAATATTAAAGAGAGTTGATGTCAGGCAGGCGGCTGGTTGTAAAAATCAATAGCCAAAACTATTCACAACATGTAAGGCAGACCCTAGCTGTAGCTGAAAAATTGCCAGGTAGAAAGGATAATATAAAAAATGCATCAACCAATATAAAGATTGTAATGATAAAGAATCATAATTTTAAAAATTGCTTCAAACTCGTGACTACTATTTTAATGTAAAAGATTTGTTCATATTAACATTTTCCGTTAGTAAATTTTTTTACAACTCAAGTAATATTACTCGAATGAAAGATTTGCATAATTCTACATTTTTAAATATATATTTTTTCTCAACTTCGGCTGCCAGATGAGTTCAGAAAAGGTATACAAATTAAATATGTTTTTAATAGAAATGAATTTATACATTGGGGGAACTAAAAAAAAATCGTCTACCGAATAAATATATTGTTTAAATGCTGCTTATGATGTATTAAAATCTACGATATTGAAATACTAAATAAATTTTATAAAAATATTGTCTTGACAAAAAAATTAAAGAATAACCATAACTATACACTTCTATGATATTAATTTTTTACTGTCATAAATTTAAATCAAATATTTAAATTTATATACCGACATTTTATAAGGTCAACATACTAACATCTTTGTAAAAATAAATTATATTAATAACAAATTGATAAACTATCTATAAGAATGTATGCCAATTATTTTATAATATACCTATATATTACAGATCTCACATTAGAAGATCAACTACTAGCGGCCGCCGAAAATACAGTCGAGAGCGACGCTAGCTGCTCTATACCGAGCGCGCTGCTTACAGATAAAGTAAGAGAAAAAAAACTAATACTAGGCTATATTATGTGGATTTATTCATAAAATTCATATGTACTTTCTGAGAGTATTTAGACACCACTGACATCTGGTGACATCGTGAGGAAACCTGCACTTATAGTTTCACAATTTTAAGTTTGAAATCACCAACCCGTCTTGTGCAAGCGTGGTGATTAATGCTCAAACCTTTTCCATTTGAGAAAAAGGCCTTTGCTCAGCAGTGGGCGCTGATAGGCTGATGACGATTCATATAATTAGTCTTATACGTAAATATAACTATAAATAGTATATAATGTTAGAAGTGTATCTGAAAGAATATTTTATGCAGACTGGAATTGATATAGATTAAGTTTAAACTATTACTATATTTGTTAACTTGAACAATAGAAACGTAAGCCGGCGATCTACGACTCAGAAGTTGAGGACTCAGCAGAGTCGAGCAGCGACGATGAGAGCCCGCCCGTACAACCTGTGGATAGTACGGAGAATGTACTGAACGCGGACTCTGTGTGAGTACACACACACATACACACAAACAGAAGTAACTACAGGTAGAATAATGGGTTGGCTCGACCAGGGAAGTACCACCCTCTCACTGAAAATCGGCGGGAAGTAGCCTTTAATGACTGCGATTTGTCTGAGAGAACTGTTCCCACCTTTTCCTGCCATTTCCCTATTCCCATCCCTTCCTTTTCCTCAACAATCAAGGCTCATCCTCAACATCTATGTTGCGGATGTCCAACATAGATGTTGAGTACTGCCCACCAAGTAGGCCATCTGCTTGTTTGCCACGTTTCACATAAAAAGAATACATACAACCTGTATACAGTACACAATGATTTAGAATATCTGAACAAAAGACAATGCCTGTATGTTCAGAGCATTTCAGTGTCAATATAGGACGGAGATTAATTAAATCACATTGAACAAAGTAGCAATGGATCACTAGACTATATAATTATTTGACTATGAAATTTATTAACTTTCTAAATATAAATTGTTCTGTTCTAGATCGTCAACTAACGAAGGTGGATCGTCTAAGAAGAAGTTCTTACGTATGGTTGACAAGATAGCCACCAACAAATACTTCCAACAGGTATAATAACCATTATTTGTATTAAAAAACTTTGACACCTTGTTATTGTAATGCCCCATTGAAACTAATCTCGTCCAGAAATAGTAACATTTTTATTCCAGAAAACTCTTAAACTCGATTCAAAAGAAATCTTTTATAAGTTTATAATAATGATTTTTAATACAATTCAATATCAAATACAGAATGAGTGACTTCAATATTAAGTTCAACGTAACCCAAAATAAAAACGGAATGAAATGTCTTATAACATAGTTTATATACATTCTTTCCCCGATAGACGTTTTTTTTTTCATAAAGTCATAACTCATATGTAGGCACAGATTAATTAGAATCTTCAAGATAAATTTTTGGAAAAAGCTGGATAGCCATTGAAAAGTTCTATGTTAATTAATTCACTCGTGTGTTACAAAATTAAAATTATTAATCAGTAAATAAAACCGTATTTCGTTGCAAAATAATAAATAAATGCGATAAATATTCATGTAGGTACCATACTGTTACGAGCTAGTATTTGATTAGCAATATAAACATGGTATTTAACAGAAAACACGAAAGTTATGTATCGCCTCTTTATAAGAAACTGACTTAAAACTGACCTAGAGATTCTTTTCTACACAACAATCAGATTAGTAGGATGTTCCTCAACATTGGTGGTAATATTTCTACTTGTTTACAAACATTAACAATAAGAAATGTTCTAGTAAAAGCATAGCCAATACTTCCGTCCTTTCATCACGAGATGGCGCTGTCGCCTCATTATCGAGAATATTTACAATTTTTTAATTTTGTTTCGTTTAATTATATTTATGTTAGATTTTATTCATAATTGCCGAAGAAATTCGTCAGTATACTATTTTAATGTTTGATTTTATGTATGTTAGTCTTTTTTAATTTTAATAATATGTGTCTAATTACCAGTGGAAACTTAGCTTGATATATGTAATTTTGTATATTCATATCCCATAAGTTTATCTTATTGTTTGTTTCCCTAAAATAAATATTCGCTATGTCGTTGTTTATAAATAATGTTTTTCCAGGTAACGGACTACAAGTACGTGAAGCGCGCCATGGAGGGTCTCAGTAACACGGACATCAAACTGCAGCTGGAGGTGAACGGACTGGAGGGGAGGCTGGCCATCAACCTGCCGCCCCCGCCGCACGACCGACTGTGGATAGGGTGAGATATACACGGACACACACACATACACACGATAAATATATATACACAATAGAAGACCCGGCGAACTTCGTATCGCCCTATAATCAAGAAATATCTGTTACGTTTTTTTATTTATATTTTTGGAGTTTACCTATTAAAGCCATAAATCTCCGTGTTTTCAAGTGCGACAGAATGATTGAAATATTAGTTAGTTGTCAAATCTAATGTCAAAAAAACGTTTGTATCAACAACTACTAATAAATTAAAAATTAATTAAAAACACATTGTCCAGCGGACAAAATTGTCAATCTAAACAATTCCCAGATCCCCTTGAACACACACAACAAATTACACCAAAATCGGCCCAGTCGTTTGAGAGAAGTTCAGTGACATACACACTCACAGAAGAATTATATATATAAAGATATTACATCGACGTATAAAGGTACATAGGCAACATAAAACTAAATTAAATATGTTTGTTTCCTAAATAACACTGAACTTCAATGACTTGCTTATAGTATACCATGGTTGTAACGAATAATAAATTATGAATCTATTTATTTCAATAAATATCTAAATAATATATTGGAAGGCAGTCCTAGTAGGTTCTTTTAAAATTTGGTTAGGTAGAGAGACGAGCTTGGATGTTGGGGTTGAGCGTTTAACGCGCGTTAGATAAGGACCCTTAAACCTACACCTAGCTCGCAAGTCCCAGGCACTGTTGAAGCTCCTCTCACTACAACGATGGACCCGACACCCGCACATTTCGTCTCATTAATTCTTAATAATGTCTCCCATAATATAACAACACCCAACATAGCCCTATATCTCAAACATAAGAACACATCAATATATTAATAAATACATATAATACTTGCAGGTTCTCAACCAACCCGCAGCTAGTATTGAAGGCGCGGCCCGCAGTAGGCGCGCGGGCGTTGCGGTTCGCTCATATTTCCAACTGGATAGAACAGAAACTGACCAAAGAGTTTGAAAAGGTGCTCGTTCTGCCCAATATGGAGGACTTCATCATAGACGTTATGTCGCCCACGCCTATAGAGTTTGAATAAAATATTAACATATATATATATATATATATATATATATGTAAGGTACATATGTACGTTATATATATTCGTAGTTGAACGTGAACTCGGACTAATGCCGCATCTTACCACTAGTCTATGAAGAAAGTTTCCGGTTTATCAAATATGTACCTTCACATATGATATATCGTTAAAAAAAATTGTTCTCGAAGACCTTCTGTACAGAAGAAGTGAAACTTCGCAATGTATAAATGAATATAGGAAGAAGTTAAAAACCAATTTTTAGTGAACAAACTTTATTAACATTGCTTACAATTCATAATTGACCCACCCATCACTCTCGCTCCGCCTTTTTCTATTCCCCCTCCTCAGGAGCGTTAAACGTTTAACGAAACCTTGTGTAAATTCGCAAAAGAAGTTTCACTTCAAAAATGAAGAACTATACTTGTGGTAAGATTAAGTTACCATCTCTGGGTTCCATTATATAATGTATAGATAATGAAACTATTTAAATTGTTCTATGACACAAACAATTTAAGTTTGTGATAGAAACAAACTGTCATCGAATGTTTCAACCCTAATACATTTCATAGAGTATTTTTATAAAAAACATACAGACAGCGCAAAGATGTATTGATATGGAAAGTTTATTGTAAATATTGAAATTATAAAAGATTTATATAGTATATATATTGAAATTGTTTCACAGATGTTTAATATACAGAGATTAGTATATTAGAACATGTAGGAATTCGTATTAATAATTATATTGTTTTGTTCATTAGTTTCTTGTTTGATAGTCTCATAGCTGAATCTGTATCACTCATTAGTCTGTGGAGCTTCCTTATACATTGATGTGACAATAATACTTACAACCTGGAAGGTTGGAACAATCTTAATAATCATACATTAAATAACTTCATACATAACAAATTCCTTTGTAGCTTACACTGCCACAAGCAGACATTTTTTTAAACCTACTTTTAAACATGTAAATTATTTCCAGGCGCTAATTAAATATTAAATAATATATGCTAACAGCGAAATACTTAAAAAATATTGTTCAATGGAAATTATCTGTAATTGTAAATGTATATCGCACAAGCATGCTTCTAAATTGTATGTTATATGTCCTAAGGAATATGAATCTTTTTCTATTGTTATATAAAGCTGATTGTTGCTCACATTACTATGCTCCCAGTTTTGAATATTTTTTCTTAATGAAATTTTTCTTAGTTTTTTTGAAGATAATTCTCTTTTCTATAATATTCTTGTATGATCTTTTGATGAAAATTCTTATGAAATTTTTAAATAATTAACAGATTGTATATTTTAATTATTGTCTATTCTTCTTCTTCTTCCTGGCAATTTCCCAGCTTTAGCCAGGGTCTATTGTTGTATGATTAAAAATTATTTGTTCATTTAAAATGTAATTTTATATATATTGACATATCGAGACAATATTGATTTGTTTTTCGTTCTTAGGCTACAATTTTAAGTTGCGTTGATTTGATTATATATGATTTTAATTTTAGTTAAATATTTGTACTGGTTTTTAAGTTTGATTATAAAATAATTTGTTATTCTTGATGAAGTGTCGATAAGCTTTCAAATATTATGAATAAATAAATTTTATAAATATAAATTTTTGGTACGATTGTTTAAATGGTGTGTTTAATAAAAAATAATTAAATAAATGTAATGTAGTGAGGAGCTTTTGTATGCGATGTTATTCGACAAAAATAATAAATGAATTCTATACAATATCGAAGTCAAATACTAAGACTGTTTATAATACTTCGACTTATGTACAGAAGAGTTATATATTATTGGTTACTAAACTGAACATTTATAAAAAAATCTAATTAAATTAGGTCAAATACATTATTGAAACAAACTTGAGGTATATAGATTTTTTGAAAGAATTAATAAAAAAAATTATAATAATAAATGTGAAAAAAAACGATTAAAATTTCATAGTAATGTAAGTGTGTAAGATAGTTTTCTAAATTGTTATATGTCGTCTCTGATGTTGAAATGTATGGAAGTGAAGTTTTTTAAAAAAACTATTAAATTTCTTATATAAAGTCCTCTATATGAAGTCTCTGCAGCTGTTAGTTACGGGTATTTGATATTTTCCGTGTATTATTTTTCGCCTAATATAATAAATATTAGAATTATTTCATTATAAGTGTGCTATTTATTTTTAAATGTTGCGTCAAGTCGCTCAGTGTATTCGTATTTAGTTATATTTTAATATATTCCTATGATGTAATTATTTATGTTCGTTTCAACGCTGTGATTCCGTTTCTTTTATCTTGATGTACCAAATGTTTACTAAATCGATGTATGTATATAGATTATCAAATTATAAAGTGTTTATGTGATATTATTATATAGTTAAGGATTAAACCGTGCCGAGTAGTTTTTCTATGTGGTATCAGTTGTGATTTTTGTCAATAAATAAATATTACATTTCAATCGAGACTTTTTCATTTCACCTCATGTTACTCTTATACAACTAAATTAAAATGGGTTCTTCATATAAAATACAGTTAATATTTTGTAATTATTTTATTTCATTCAACATTTCCGTTACGTCAATACTCTGCTTAACTAAAATTCATTTAATACTCATATATACAACATAGGCTATTTTCGTTGTAAATCTATATCACATATTGACAATAAAGGTCTTATATATAAAACATAAAATTATTTAGTACATAATAAACAATATAATATATTACTTATAATATTCATCTATAAAATAGTGCTTTTTATATATTACATATGATTTAAGGAAGATCAAGCATTCGGATATAATAAAAATATATTCTTTAATATTCTATTTACAATCTAAGGAAGACGAATACTGTAACGCTTCTGAACTTCATATAGCTATAAGACAGTTATATATGGCATTAAACATTATGTATGTACACAGTTGAGATCAACCTTACGTCCTAATATAAAAGATCTTAAAGATTTTGGCACTCCGGACCACATTTGTCTATACACTAACATTTACCTATTAATATTGTATATTATATAAATAAACATTTTTATATTACAATATCTTTACATACTATATGGCAAGCTTACAATTTACAAGAGAACTATGATACTAACTCTTTTACATTTCAATAGGCTGTCGGGAAATTATAAAAGTGACATGTGAAGTGACATCAGCTATACATAGTAATTAATAGTAATTTTCTAAAATCATTGACATTGGCAAAATATTAACAATTCCAGTGCGAATGAAGCCATAGCATAAAAATAGAAATAATAGTAAATCTGACATTGATGACGTATGTCCACTGTACATTCACAACTAAAACAATCAAAAAATTGTTGACATTGACACTATAGAAATCTTAATACTTGACGTTGACGTCACATTCCTCAAATTGGAATGAATCCATAGCTTTTATAAAGTAAAAAAAATCAAATACTAACAAATTATCAGCTTCATATAAATGAAATGCTATATGAAGGTGATCTTTATAGTGTCTTCTTCTACCTGGCAATTTCCCAGCTTGGAGTGATATTTATAGTGTCTGTAACTATAAGTTTATGTCCCAAACAGCCGTATAATTAAACCTCCGTCAATATTTCAGTGAACAGTGTGAGGTTCCGTCTTTCCTCCTGTCATGTACTAGTTTTACCCATTGTTCAAGTCTTGGTGCACATACTAGTGTTAGTCGCCCGAGTCTCCTCCTTGCCATTACTACAAACTCCCCCTCCCCCGTCGCCGCACCACACGCGTGTGGCACCTGTGTGTGTGCGTGCGTGTGTGCGCGCGTGTCTGTGTGTGTGTGCGTGCTCGTGTGTTTACGTCCGCGAGTGCGTGCTCGCCGACGGGTGCGTGTTCGTGTTGGTTCAATACTGTTTTCGACATTGTCTATATCGTATCTGTTGACAAAAAAAAACAATTGTAATTATAATATTTACGTATAGTAGTAAAAACAAATAAAATTATTGCATGCAATTAAATAAAAAAATAAAATTATTGCAGCACGCGAGTATTGAAATCAAATCATAATAAATATTACATATATTTTATGGAAACAAGTTCAGCGATTCCGATCCTCAAATTACAAGAACGTCATCACAATTCGTAATGACGTGTGTCAGATAATGAAAACGAATAAATAAAAAGTATTCAAAACATTGAATCAGAAAAAGAAGTCACATGAAAAAAATTACCAATATCATATATATATTAATAAACTCATACAACTTTAAACTCACCTATAGTAGTCATTAAGGTCATCTGTTTGTACGTCTGTTTGTATGTCGGCTGCGGTCGCTCGGACCAACTTCGTAAGGCGCCAAGTGAGTTGAGTTGAGTCCAGAGACGAAACACGCTCACTACCAACCATAACAGCACGAGATACTACAACAATATACAATTATTATAAAAAACATGATAAATATTAATAATTATATAACAAAAAGTAATTAATTACAAAGAAAACGCTAACGTAATGAGAATCACGATACAATATTAACAATAAATGATTAGTAATCTACAAGATTGTTAGATAATAATGGGTTAGTTTATATATGAAAAATAAAAACGCAATTCTCAAATTAAACATCTATAGCCAGACGTCATCATGGTCGAAAATATAATTAAAATACGAAAAAATATATGAACAATTTCATTTGTAGGCGATCAAGCGATTAATTGGTGTTCGCTTTACAATAACCGTATTAATTGATAGCAAGATATTGAGCGTCTTTTACGCGGAATATTTTTATCTCGCGTTATCTATCTTAAAAGAGCTTTCTGCCGCTAAGACACCTACACCTTTTACAACACTTTTGTTAATAGATAAGTGAATAAGGTCGTTGACCCCGCCCCGAGACGTAATTAGAGGCTTCACTTCACTCTGAATAACGAGAAAAATATACTTTATTCAGAAGTCTGTTTAAAAACACATTTACAGTTGCAGCGAAATATTAGTAAATTTTTTATATGAAATTAAATATAATTTGAAGATACTTTATTTTTGGTATTAATTGTACTAGCTCAAATAATAATTTATTTTCTAATAACAATAAATCTTTTTGATTCTTAATAAACAAAGAGTTAATTTTGTATTCGAACAAACAATAAAAAATTAGGAACAAAGTAATATGTATTCTGAATTGCAAAATTAAATTTCCATTCAAAGAAATGTCCTAACATTTGAATCATCAATATTCTCGACCACCGCTGTGGTAATCTATCATTAGATGATAAAAACATGTATGTTATATCCCGCGGAGTCGCGTGCCTCTTACGGTGCTGCGTCCTCATATGGTGTCCTCAGTAAGGCTAAATCGATTCCTATCAATCTATCTTACACGCGTAACAACTTCCTTAAACTTGTATGACATTTTTATACTACATTACAAGATTCCCTCGAGACATTACGAAGTCATCATGTTTGAAATAGCCGGTCATAATTGGTTGAATTTTACATGCAATTTGTTTAGTTATAATTTTATTTATTTTTTGTGTCATTTTTTGCTAAATATATAGATCGTTGTTCATATGATTACGTACTGAAGTCAGATTTTATGACTACAATCATTACAACTTGGACACAAGAAATTATGTAGCGAAAAAAATAAATTGACGTTCACATTAAGTCTCATATCATTAGCGGTTCATCGTTGATCGTTTTTACTCGTACTAAGTAAACATATGTACTCACCGAGATCGCTGGTGCAGAAAGCAAGTTCCAACTCAGCTTCCGAACAGGGTCGGCAATCCGCGGCGGCTGGGTCGTAATGCCGCCTTTCCAGCGACCTGGCTTCGTATCTGAATGTGGCAACCCTACGTTTCGGGCCTTCTTCGGGTTCAGCCTCAACATATAACGCCGCCTGACCGTGTCTGCTGCGGAAACATCTCAGTTCCTTTACATCACCGTCATCAGGCGCGTAGAGAGGAACTAAACGGCGCACTCCTTCAACGAAGATACGCGCAGGGAAACGTCCAGCGACTTCTATAAATAACGATTATATTATAATACATGCCATACATAATATAAAAGAAAATTAAATTTTAATCCTTACCTGTATTATTCCGGTCAAGCGAATAAAATAGATCAGGTGGATCTTGTCTACGGATTACTCGTACGCAGACCTTGAAGTCTTTCTCTCCAGTAGGTAGCGGCGGCTTGAAGAGCAGTCTGAGCGCTCCACGCGGATACAACCACGACACAGAACCCTCCCTACATCTCAGGTATACTGGAGTGACGCCACGCTCGTCACTCGACGACAACCCACTACAGACAGAACAGAAAAAAATATAAAATTGATATTCATAGCCCAAATCTGTTATTATTGTTTCGTGAAACACAGAACAATCAAGATCCTTTCAAGACGTGATATAAAAAAAGCTGTGAAGTAAGAAAAAATGTACGCCACAAGAACGACCGTCGGCGACACTAACTTAGAACCTGTTTACAAATATAGAAACACAAACTGAGTAAATCATGACGAGATTTGAGATAAGGAGGAAAGTACGCTGCAGGCTCGAATAACGGCACGCGACACGGCGTTGTTACAATCTGAGACTGCTCCTATAAACCAGTTCCGAGCCAATTTCAAACTATCTAATATCTGGCCACGTGGGCTAAGATTTCTGGAGTAGCGCCCACGGCCTGCCCACGGTCTTAGAACACAAAGCTGATATACGACTTGCAGCGGACCATAAAAGATAACGCGCATACTTCGACATGCATTGACGCGACAGAAATAAAAAAACACCAAGCTTTTATGTAAAGCGCATTGTATGGGACCTCACGCCTCTTTATTGGTCATGTACAGGCTCGGTCACTTCGATTTATATGGCATTGTAAATGTATAAGTATGGAGAATATTCAATTTACAAAGAAAGGCAGAGCAGGATGTTGTCCACATTCACTTAAGGGACGCGATTGTGACTCGTCCACTGCACCGGCTGTTTGCATATATTTAATATTCCAAGGATAATTAATTACCAATTTTTTCGTGGCTTTAATTTAAAACTCATCTTATTTCGTATTCTTTTTAACATGTTTGGCTTTAGAGTCAAATAAAGGAGTTGAGGAGTACCAAATAAAACAAGTTGATCCATTATCATAAATAAGACTCATGTCGTCTTAAAGTTATTTTTATAATGCGAGCGTCACATCCTTAATACTTGTACGTCATCCGTGGGCTTCCTTAATCCACCCTAATGGACTGAATCTCGTGATATACGCATACTTATAATGCTATGGTCTTCAACAAAAACTGGTCGCCGTAGGATAAAGCTCTGCGTAGTTTTTTCAACAAATCGTGCTAATGGCGGTTTTATTATCGGAATATTGACATTTTTTTATAATTAAATATAATTATTATAAAAATAATATACCATTATGTATTATAGACTCTGTTTGAAATCACTTACTGTGATATAGTTCTAATTCATGGTTCATACAAATTATATGAGGATACTTAATAGGAAAGTATTCTGGTAATATAATATTTTTGGTTTTGATCCTCCGTATGGTTTCTGGAGCACACGTGATCAAGGGTTGTCTCGGGTTGTCAACCTCTCCAGCATCCTAGATAGTTATGTAATACGTAGTCAGATGCGTAGCGCCTTATACAGTAATGAGGCAGTTCTTATGTACATTTTATCTTTAGCAAGCGATTCTTTTAAATAATAACGTACGGTCGACGTTTTAATATTGATTGTTCTCGAAACACCATTGATGTAGCGCTCATTATGTATGTAAATATACAAAAAACTAAAAAGCTTTTATGAATTCTGATGCGCGTCCGTTAATGGAGGCCGATGATTCCTAAATCAGCTTTGATTTGTCACATACATACATAAAGTTATTTAAATTATGATTTTTATTGTACATACAAAAATTCCTAAGATTATAACAATAGTTAATTTGAATATACTAACACAACGAATGTTTAACCGTGGCACATGAGATAGCGCTATCTACGTGCTAAAACAAATAAGAGAAAAACTGACACACAAAAAAATTTAAACACAGGGACATTTTTTGTTATATAATATGAGGGTGTCGCTGTCGTCGTTCCGTGTTAGAAAAATATATTTTTTGTTAACAAAACGAGATCTGAATACTGAATGTATAGCGAGGAGTTAAATAACTTAACAGCATCTGAAAAACAGCGAGCATTAAGACTGGAACGAGTTTGTACAACAATAAAATAGACGCGAACATTATTAACATATTCATAAGATAGAAACAAAGAAAGGATTGAAAACATCGAAATGTTATAAACTATAGGATAAAAAATACATTTTTTATATGGTTAATGTATGTCGCCTTGACGTCGCCGTAAAACATAAAAGACAATACCACGCTGTTACAAATGTTTTGATAACACTACTAATACGTTCCTGCTACGTTGATTTGAACCAAATGTATATTAAATTCTTGTTCAAACAAAAAAAAAACCTAGAAATTTAAATACAATCATATATATAAACTACAGTTTTACAACGGCTGGGTTTTTACAATACTTTTGTTGTTTCGAAAAGGCGAGAATATCATATATGTATAAATTGAACTCTAAATGTATACACATAGAGTATAGAATATAAACAAAGAAAAAAAGAAGTGAGGGTGACAAAAACAGATGAATAAAAAAATCCATTTTTAAATTAATTAATAATCTTAAGTATTTGTGACCATTCCTTTGTTATTTCAAATTAATTCGTCCAATACATTATAATGTTGATTCTACATCGATTTTTATATCGATAGATTTGAATGTGCGATCAGTTAATTGGGAGCCAGTGATGTTCTCTGGAGTGTCGATAATTTTATCATCGTACGACGAATCTGACTTCTAGGAACTCGATTCTTGTCAAAACCTGAAGTGAGATAACAATAAGTCGTACATTCAACCGAGAACTAAACCAGGGATGTCACTGTGAATAATTAACTGACTATCACAAGATATACGTTACTTACTTAGTAGAGTCATATTTTTATTGTTTATAGTAGGATTTTTATGTTATTTATTTGGATTATTCCTTCAAAATTATTTTTTTTTTTGTTACAAGTACATGCTTTTATTATTTTACACGTAACGTTTAAAGCAAAAATTGAACAATTGAGACGTACTTTCACATCGAAAAAAAAAATGTGGTGAAGAAATAAATTAGGTAAAACATTTAAAGATTATTGCTATAACATTAATTTATTTATCAATCTACATATAATATTGCTAACACAATCACTGTCGTTGTATGTATGTATGTATGTATGTATGTCCCTCATCAATCGTCAACCCTGAGTATAGCACGTGAACCACGCCCGCTATGCCCACGCGCCACGCAGTAGCATTTCTATAGCCGATACCATCTACACTAGCTATTGTTACATTTCACTGCTCTTAATATGCTTATAGTAATGAAAATATCGATTTTAAAACACATAAATCCTTAGTAAACTTCCTATAGGAAACCTAATTTTAACTTCGAATCTTGTGAACTAAATTACTTTCTAGAACAGAATTGTTTGTACCTACGAGTATATAGTACTTTCTGCTTCAACTTAGCCAACCTAAGTTGAAACCTGTTTTGAATAAACCGAATATAATATTAATGGAACGCCAACGGTCTAAACGAGAGCAGACTTGTTCGATAAAATCTATTGCAAAGTTTAAGAGTTGCTACACGTATATTGTATAGTATATGTAGGTATATTATGTTGTGGTATTGTGACTGTTACACTTTCAAGTCTCTTGTCCCTTACTGAACCTGGCTCAGTGATTTATAGACGCTTGAGTCACCCACACAAAAACCACTATATATTTCTTACTTCTTGTTTAAAATAATGATGTTTTTTTGATTTTAGTTTAATAACGTCGTAATTTAGAGGATATTTTTTATAAATACAATTACTTTGTACTGTATATTAATTTTATAAGAAATAAACATATAAGCGATCATAAAATGTATAAGTAAGGTCAGTGACTCTATTTAGGGTGCATTAGAGCCGATCAACAATGAGACAACCAATTTATTGAGAGACAATATTGGTAGTTCTATCTTTGTGGTGGTGGACCTTGGTATCTTGGTGGTATGTTCTAACAGCGCACGTGCGTCCCTTTGTTCCCCACAATACCTTAACTATCAGGTACTAATAACTAATATAACATTTCAATGTTCTATAATTGATTTCTGTTTCAATATATATACGGTGTATATATATTATGTTTGTGTGCGTGTGTGTGTGTTGTGTGTGTATGTGTGTGTGTGTGTCTGTAATTGTAAGTGATGATTCGTCCTGATTGCATAATGGAAGCAGCCCGTGCTCTCGTGGGCGACCCTCTGTCAGCGGCGAGCCAATACTACATCATAATATAACACCTAGCAATACAAATACATTTTATATGTAGAAAAACTCGTAATAAAAAAATTTCACCTCTACAATAACAAAGGCTCTTTGTATAGCTTATATAGACATACAATCATTGTTTACTTATTCTCATCGCATTTTTTAATGGTGACGAAATTATCAATCTTTATAACACCTGCACACTTCTGGCGTATAAGGTAATGAATAACTAACTCCTTATTAATAAACAATTAGCGTGATTCCTTATAAAAATTCTCAACAGTCATACAAAATGCATCCCAGTTACGTCACTATATTTTTATATTAGTAGAAATATAAAACTATAATTTCAGTATTTCTAAGACTTATAATACATCAAAAAAATACACACACACACAAATACTTACACACACACACACACACACACAGCCCACTTAAAACGTCCCATTCTAAAATAATTTAATTCGACATACGATAAATAACTTTTTGTACTAAATGTTGTTGAGGAATATATTTTTTCTATATAATTCTTTGAACATATGCGGACTTGAGACTTGTGCGGCGCCACACACCCACACATGTAGCGTGTTGACAGACGTAAATAAATAATATTCAACAAAATAAGCCCGCCAATATTAGTTACGTGGAGGAAAAAATATACGAAGAGAGAAGCTGAAATATGCAGCATAAAGTATTTACGCGGATCTAAGTATAAAAAAGAGTTCAATTAGAAAATACCGCGTTGATTGCGGACAGTTAAAAAATATTATTTCATATAAATGCAACTTTTATGTCGGTATTCATGCGCTTTAACAAAATAAGCGTCGTTTAGCGTTTCAAGGAACACACTTAGACATAATTTCAGTGCCAGTTATGAATGTTATTATGAAACTATTTACGGCGTTGAATGTACACATGTATTATAATGATACTAGTTTTTGCATCCGACTCCATCCGCGGGGACAGATTTTAAGAGAAATTTATAAGTATATTGAAACAAAAGATATTATAACTAGTCTGGTTCAAATACAATACAACTGTTTTGCCTTAATCTAGGATTTTAGGAAAAATTATGGGTTATAACTTATACAATGTCTTATGCTGATACGTAAGCTATATATTTATAAAATTTCACCAAAATCCATTCAGCAGTTTTAGTATGAAAGACTAAAAACCGTGATAGCATTTTCATAAACTTTCTCATTCATAATATTATTAGGTAACTTTATTTACACGATCAAATATTTGAACTCGATCCTATGTTCAAGTATCATGGGAAAAAAATTGATAAGACGTTTTAAATATTCGCGAAAATATAAAAAATCTCCCACGTGACGCTGGCGGGTATAACAAAATTACCTACGTACCATGATC